CTTGTATAAAAATAATCTACTAAATGACAGCCAGCTTTGGTTCAGAAGTGCTACGCCTTGTCTGACCAAGATGACATCCCAAATTGACTATGAGAAACTGTATGAGCGGGACGCTACCCTGGATGAAGATCACTATATAAATGCAAGTTGTTGTTGTTGATACTAACAAAGAAGTTCATTGTAGATAAATACAAGCTACTGCATATAGAAAATAATAGGAAAATCATGTACTTTATGAATGGAGTAGAATTTGCCAAGGGGGAAGCTGAAAGAGAACTAGGGGAGTTAATTGACCAATTGCTCACCATGCCAAAACAGTGAGATAGTTAGGCAAACAGGATGCTACATTACATTACCAAATAAATTGATCTCAGATTCTCAGAAGTTATTTTAAAGCAGTATAATGCTGTTGTCAGGGAATATGAGAATAAAGGAATAAGAGGAAGCTATTGAGCCCATAAAGCCTGTTCTACCAGTTTTAGATCTTAACAGATATTTTAATCCCAATGCCCCATTCTTGTACCATACTAATCTAAAGTACTGTGGACAGTTCCAGTCACTGTGAATTAAGCAGCCTACTTGCCCTAGAGGGCACTGCAAAGGAGAGCAACGAGGATGATCCCCAATGTTGGAGAAATAAGCTAAATGCAATGATTAGCCTTGAAAGATGTCACAGTAGGAATTTCTAGAGTTATATGACATTTTAAAAATCATTTTGTTTGATCAGCCGAATGTCTGACACAATAATAATAATAATAATCCTTGCATTTTATATAGCGCTTTTCACGTCTTCTAGAGGTCTCAAAGGCTTCACAGAATATGCTGTAAAGTGAATTGACCGTATATTTGTGGGCGAAACGCAGCAGCCAATTGCGCACAGCAGTGTCCCACAAACAGTCGTGGATTGAAAATGACCAATTTATTATACTTGCCAAGCTTAATAAAACAGTAATTGTGTGGTGACGCGATGGCTAAATTGGGATTTTTAACTCAATCAGTCTAGGCTGACGCTCTGATTCAGTGCTATGGGACGTTCTGCGTTTTTGGAAGTAAAATCCTTCAAATGAGACGATAAATTTAGGTCCCATTTGGTGGATGTTAAAGCTCCCCTAGCAGTATTGAAAAAAAGAAGAGAGTTTCTTCCAGTGTCCTGGCCAACAATCCCAAAAATAAAATTGGTCACTCACTTCATAACTGTTCTGTGGGACACTGCTGTGTGCAAATTGGCTGGTGCATTCACCTACAAAATACACAGTCACTACACTTTACAATATATCCTGTGAAGTGCTTTGAGATGTCTCTCAATATGAATAGCACTATAAGGATTATTAGTACTAGTCGTATAATGTGAGTATCCTACCCCAGGATTAGACAGTGGGACCATTCCCTTCACCATCATGGTACCCAATATGTGCATAGCAAACAGGAAGTAATCTCATCGGTCACCTAATGACCTGGAACTACTCCATTTTTCTTTTAATATGTGGACCAGCCAGGGAGAAAGTCGATCAACTATGTTTTTTATGTCCTTGTTTTATTGATCCTAACCACTGAGTTATAGTGGAGCTCCAGTGCATTTGTCAATTCTGTAAAAAGTATGCCACAAACGGGAACACAAGCCCTGGCTTTGATATTCATCATTATTTTGTTCGCAGAACATCATGGCAGAAAAAGGAATTTCAATCTTGCAGACGAAACAGCCATCAAAGGGCTTTTGTACACATACTGTTTTAGAACACATGAGTTTTGAACATCATCAAAATATCTACAGTTTACAGTTACATTGACATTTACAGGAAACGCTAACTGCTCGTCTTGAAATATTTATCCTCAAGACAGTTATCAAGCTTGATTGAGATCACTCCTTCTGTACAATCCAACCTTGGTTATAATTCACTGTATAGGTCGGTGGCCTGGGAGACAACACTATAAGACAACCTAGCTGAAAGCATGTTCATCACTGAAGAGACGACCTTGGCATTTTGTCAACCCATGCAGCGTTTTTCAAAACTATTTAAAAACACACAATTTATCCATTTGCCTAAAGCTACAGGCTATCTGTCAAAATAAATATAGATCTTTAAATTGCTGTGAAAGAAGTCATTAAGAAGGACTACAGCAACTCCCTGTAGACCTTTGCCTCTTTTATTCTATTGACATAATGAATATATTGATACAGCTAAGCTGTAATACGTCAGGACTGACAGTAAATTTGCATTGAAATAATATTTTTAGTGAACACGGTGTGTTATTCCTGTAGCAGCTAGGAATGTAGGAATGTATCAAACCCTTGCGTTTGATGTAAGTTAGTCTCACATCATCGAGATATCTCAAAATCGCAGGATTTTACCTGAAACTGCAGTGATTGCATTTTGTAGTCAAACACATACAGTTTGCACACAGCAGTGTTCCACAAGTAGCCATGAAGTGAATGACCAGTTTCACTAGGAGAAACTCCCTTCTGTTTTTTCAAATAGTGCCATGGGATCTTTATTATTAATAATAATAATCCTTACAATTGGTAATAATCCTTTACATTTAGCAACGCCTTTGAGGCCTCAAAGAGCTTCACATGACATACTGTAAAGTGCATTGACTGTATGTTTAAGCGCTCTGAGCCGCTATCCTGCGTGGAGGACACTGTATAAATGCTAGTTGTTGTTGTTTTGTGGGTGAACATGGCAGCCAATTTTGCACACAGCATTTGGGGCAATTTTGGCCAGGACACCAAAAGAAACTTCCTTCTCATTTTGAATGGTGCCATGGAATCGTTGAAGTCCATTTAAGTCTACCAACACAGCAAGGCTGAGACCCTGCTTTGCAACTTCCTGCTTTGGGCGTGGGGAGAAAAGCAGAAAATTATATCAGTGGCAATCTAATAACTCAATAGTCTGTCATTTGTAGTGTAAAAAGCTGCCATAACATAATGAGGTCCACAGTGTTACCAAATTATAACTGAATCTGCAACATGAAGTGCATTATAATAGGGCTGCACTGGCCCTACAATGGTGGCGGTGCTGGCGGCTGCCACTCCCCCACCCTCCCCCCCCATAAATACACGGTGGGGGAGGGTGGGGGAGCAGAAGTATGATTCCAACCAAAAGCGCGGGAATTAGAGGTGCTTGGGTTGTGGTGCGATGCAGGGTTGGGGAATGAGGTCAGGGCCTGAGATTCTGGCATTAGTTCGGGACAGCAAGAGCCTGTTCCTGTGATGCTGAAGTGGAGCCAGAAGGTAAGCGGTAGCTGCTGGGTAGCTCGACAGCAACTAGGAGAACAGAACAGCCCAACCCTGAGTGGGAATGGGTGCAGCCTCTCCCTCAGCAACTCCTTGTCTCTCCTTAAATCTCCCCCCCCCCCCCCACCCCCGACAGCTCCTTCATACCTCTGACATTGTAGAGAGCCATGTTTCATAAAACCCTCTTAAAAATTGTTCCAGCGTCACTGCCCCAAAGTTAAAAGCTTCCTTCGATGGTGAGCTTGGTTCATTGTCAAGATTGTTCCATCCCTGAGTCAGCCTGACTCAATGCAAGTGCCATGGAGCCAGCTTATAAACCACCCTTTCCATGTTCCAGTAAGTGCTGTTTATTTGAAATGATTTTGCTTCAACAGTGGCCGATTTCACCTTGAAGGTGCCGTTATGGATGGTCAGGGTAGACATGTCAAAGGAGCGTGGCAATCACCCCACCCCCCCCACCTTTGACTTTGCCCTCCCCCCCCATCACAAAAAGCTTTGTCGCCAATGGTAACATAATTATCAATGTTATGACCGCTTATTGCGGCAAGACATGCATATACATCCTTCCTTGGCCAGATGTTTTTGAAACTATTGTCGAGATTTAGTTATTCTAAGTTTACGTGATTACGCGTGTGAGGCAAATGACCTGAACATAAAAAGATGGGCATATCAGCTGGTCTGGTTCATGCTCCGTATATGGACATTTGTTGATTCCCAATTTCGCAAAAGAGCTCTGAGCATTGCCACTAATTATACACAGTATAATTAGTGGCAATGCTCAGAGCTCTTTTGTACTGTGCACAGTACAGAAGGAAGCCAGCCATTCGTGCCTATTACCATCTCTATTAGAGCTATCAGTTCTTATCCCCTTCCCCCGCTGGTAGTATTTTTTTCACAAGTGTTTATCTAATTACCTTTTTAAATGCTGTTTAATGATCTCAGCTTTAACAACCATTTTTGGGGAAAATATTCCACATTCTAACATGTAAAACAAATTCTTCTTAACCTTTTTTTTTCTTCTCATGATAATGATTTTGTTATACCCTCTTGTTACAGACTCTCCAGTGAAAATACTGCAGCCACTAAAATCAGACTAATCATATTTTTGAAAACCTCCATTGGATCCCCTTAAATCTCCTGCGCAAATATAAACATTGACCTTTCAGTGCTCTCCAGATACTTCTCATCTCTGCTATACATCCTCGATGTCCTTTCCTCAAGGACTGGTCAAAACTGATTTCAATATTCGTCAACAACAACAACTTGCTTTTATATAGCACCCCTCATGCAGGGAAGCGTCCCAGAGTGCTTGACAGTGGCAGAGCATGACGCCAAGCCAGTGGGGGTGATTGTAGGCATGGTCGAAAAAATTAACATTATCTACTTCTTCTTGCATTCAATGCTCTTATGCAGTATATAAAATCTAGAATCAGCAAGGAATAAATTTACTGTGTGAAGGTTCTATACGTGAATTTCATTATTCTTTTCTGATGTGTTTAAAACAAATTGGATTTGAAAAAGTGCTCCTCTTGAAAGCGCTACCATTATTGATGCCACACCACTGGAAAATGCTTGGCAACATAAAGAGTGTTTCCACATGCAAACCCCTGACTCACAAGACTGGCTCTGGTCCAGGATCTCAGAGCCAAAGACTCATCTCACGTATATGGTTTTCCTAAAGAAGTTGCATTTTAAATTGCAAAGCAATGGCAAATTGTGTAACCATTTTCAGCCCTGTTCATTTCAATGTAATATTTTGTTTCAGCTTTTCATACAGCAAGATGTGAAAAGCTGCAGAAGGAGAAAGAAGAATTGGAGAGGAGATTTGAGACTGAGGTTGAGAGGCTACAGCTTCAACAGCAAGGGGAGATCCAATCCCTTGAAGAGAGGCTTAAGGCACATTTTGCTGCAGAAAAAGAGCGTCTCATACAGGAACAGAGGGAACAGTGTGAGAAAATGCGATTTCAGCATAACGAACAGGTCCATTTCAATTATATCTTATAATTCTTGTAATATTTATTTGTTCCTATCTTACTTCAGATGTTGCTGAAACTCTTATTAATGCTTTCATTACCTCCCATCTTAATTTTTCCAATGCACTCCTCGCTTATCCCCTCAGCTCCACTATTGACAAGGTCCAAATGATTCAAAACCTGTGTCCTCAGCAGCATTAGGCTCTGTGGACCTAGCTCTTGCGGTTCCAGAATGGATCAATTTCAAGATCCTCATTCTCAAATCTCTTCACGTCCTGGCACCTCCCTACCTCACCAATCTGCTCACACTCCACTCTACTATCTGCGCCTTCACTCAGCTGGCTCAGGTCTTCTGCATGTCCCCCAATCCTTCCAGCTGTACTTTCAGCTACTATGCCACAAATCTCTGGAACTCCTTCCCTCAATCCCTACATTTTGCCCCCTCTGTTTGCCTTCAAATCACACATGAGGACTTTCCTCTTTAACTGCGCCTCCACTCACCTTCCCACTGTTTACAGCCAAAGGTTTTGAGACGCTGCTTGGATGAGTGCTGTTTTATTGATTCAAGTTGTTGCAATATTTAAAGAGCAGTTTCTTCTGAAATACTGTGTGGCACTCTTGGGTTACAATGCTAAACTTGGCCTGTCCAGCCCAGACTGGCAGCTATTATGGAATGTAAAGGTGTAATGAAATTCAGTCTGGACTGAGATCCTAAATCTGTACATAACTGCATGAAATATTGCTTCCTTCATGACCTGCTGACTCATTCAATTCCTCTTAATGTTGTGTTCTATGACCGCAAACGTCTGCCTAACTTGGCCACGTTACAGCTTTTTACTTCATTTGGTTCTACCATCATAAAGGGTCAGTCAGAATGTGCCAAATGTGCAGCACGTTCTGTGGTCATGTCATGTGATAACAACATAAAAAGAGAGGAGCAGGTGTAGTAGACCAGTCAGCCCTTTGAGGCTAGTCTAAGTTTTATTAGATCATTGCTGATCTGCAACTTATTTCCACTTCCAAAGTGCTGTATCAAATGCAAGGATTATTATTATGATTATTTCCCTGCCCTTTCACCATGTTCTTAGCAACAACAACAACAAAATTACATTTGGAAAGCGCCTTTCAAGTTGGGAGGACGTCGCAAGGCACTGAACAGTCTGGGATCAGGACCCGAGCATGGGGGGCAGGGTTGGGGTGAGGGAGGACAGAGAGGTAGGAGAGTGGCTGAAGGCACGGTCGAAAAGGAGGGTCTTGAGTTGTGCCTTGAAGGAGGCAAGGGAGGGAGCAAAGTGAAGGGACTGTGTGATGGAGTTCCAAAGGGTGGGGGCAGAGAAGCTGAAAGCCCGGCCGCCAATGGTAGGGCAGGTCGAGTGAGAGACATGGAGCAGGCTGGAGCCTGCTAAATAGAGGGAGCAGACAGGTTAATAGGGGGTCAGCAGGTCAGAGATGTAGGAGGGGGCAAGGGCGTGGAGGGCCTTGAAGGTGAGGACGAGGATCTTGCATTCTATCCTCTGAGAAATAGGAAGCCAGTGGAGCCGGGCGAGGGTGAGTGTGATGGGGCCATGGAGCCAGGTGCGGGAGAGGATATAAGCTGCAGACTTCTGGATGATCTGCAGCTTGTAGAGGGAAGAGTTGGGGAGGCTGACAAGGATGGAGGTTCCATAGTCAAGCCTTGAGGTGACAAATGCACGTATGAGGGTTTCAGCGGCCTGACGGGTGAGGCAGTGGCGGAGTCTGGCAATGTTGCGTAGGTGGGGAAGGCAGAGTGAATCATGGCACGGATATGGGGGAGAAAGGATAGTTGAGGCTCGAACAAGACATCAGTGGATGCTGATGCTGCCACTGCCTAAGGTGCGGAGGCGCTAATGTGAGCCAATCAGGAGGGCCTCAGTCTTGCTGACATTCAATTGTATAAAGTTAGCCCTCATTGAGGACTTGATGTCTGATAGACAGTCTGTCAGGAGGTCAGTTGCCCTGGAATCGAGGGTGGAGGCAGCGAGATAGATTTGGGTGTCATCTGCGTCCATGTGGAAGTTGACCCCATATCTGTGGATGATGTCACCAAGTCGGAGCGTATAGAGGTTGAAGAGGAGGGGACCAAGGACAGAGCCCTGAGGAACACCGCATGAGACTGTGCGGGGGCTGGAAGAGAAATCGTTGGCGGAGACAAATTCAAGACAGTGTGAGAGATAAGATCTGAACCATTCAAGGACAAAATCTTGAATGGTGAGGTGAGAGGAGAGATGGTGGAGAAAGATGGAGTGGTCCACAGTATTGAAGGCAGCAGAGAGGTCGAGGAGGCTGAGCGAGCCCTGGTCACAGTTGACCAGAGCAGCACGGAAACCTGATTGGAGGGGGTCGTGAAGGGAGTGGTAGGAGAGAAAGGAATGAAGCTGGGAAGCAACGACCCTTTCAGGGACCTTGGAAAGAAAAGAGAGGTTGCAGATGGACCAGTAGTTAGAAAGCAGGGATGGGTCCAGGGAAGGTTGCCAAGGAAACAATACAGCAGGGATAAAATTCTGTGTCGTACAATTCTCAGTGTATAGGTAATACTTAAGTATCTTTCTGGAAAGTACCTTAGAAAATTAGAAATTTATTCTTACATGGTTAACAAGGAGATACGTTTAATTGGACACATGAGATGTTTTCGTCAGTACATTTGTGTTGCCCTTGACAGCAAGCGTGTATCATTCTCCACTGCTTTCTCTGTAAATTTATTGTACTTATAAATCTAGACAACCAAGGTCAGCACAGTTACAAACAGTAGACGATTTCCACTGTCAGCATCGAGCACTCTGAAGGTCAGACTAAGCACATTTAGATGCTTAGTAATGCTCTCTGTCCCGCAATGATGCTCTAGCCCTTCATACTGCAACAGCACAACATTTTCATTTTTCATTCACATTGTCTGGTTCCCAATTTAGTACTAATATTAAGAGAAACTGACAATTTATGTTTGTTTGGTTTAAAGAGCAACATTCTTAGCTATATGCTTGCAATTGTAGATATGAAATGTATTCTTACATTATGTGGCAAATATTACACTACTTGAACACTTTTTTTTAACATTTTTAACATTAACTGGCATTGTACCCACCTTCCAAGTTTTACCAAAGTTTAAAGTTTAAAAATGCACTTAAGTTGTAAAAGGTATTGCCGGTTGATAGTCCTGTTTGTTGTATAAGGTGGAGGACGTGACAGCTGCTCACACCAGTGCAATCACAGAGATGGAGAACAATCATACAGTCACCATAGCAATTCTTCAAGACGAGCATGAAGAAAAACTGGCAGGTATCTACATAACATGAACAAAGTTTGAACATGACCTGCTGCTTAATTTGACTGAATGTATCATTTCACCAATGTATTCAAGGCAAAGTGGTAACTTGAGAGTAAGAGGTGTGGAGGAAGCAGCAGGTGAATTCATCTGTAGAGAAGGGATATGGTGTAAGCAAAACTGTGTCATGTCTTATTCTGATATTTTTCAGCAACTCAAGAATATACTGGATAATTTTGAACCATCTGGCCAGTTCTAGTTTAAAAAAGCAGCATACTTATTGTGGCAATTTAGAAATGTTCTTATCTGCTCGTTTCTTTAAAAAACTGAAAGAACAAAGACCATCAGACTTCTAAAATCCAATTCTTTTGATTATTTCTGTTTGCAGCAGGGTGCAAGCAAATTTGTTTCTTTATTTAGGAATGTATTAATTAAACTATTATGATTGGAAAACCCTCACTCAACGTGAGAGATTATTGATATTTTTGCCCCATAAGGATGAGACTGTAAAATGACACACGGTTTGTAAAATATGCAGCCTGTTCCATGCCAGTCAGAGCTTGTGATTTGCACCAAAGAGAAGTAAACGTATCCCCGCAATGGGCTTGAGAGGAAAACACTGGGGGCATCTGAGAGTGGTAGCCACCCCCTTCAAAAGTAAGCAGGAGGGCATTCGATACAATAAAACTAGACAAATATACAAAATTGTGACACTTACTTTGTCTGTAATACCCATCCATCGATTTCTTCACTATATAATTATCCAGTTTCTTCTTGAATTTGCTGATACAGTAGTCCCCCACTATCTTCCCTTTAATGTAATTAAATCTGAACTGTCTGTTCATATCCCACTTCATTCCATCCCTTGTTCAAAGATTTTAGACCTATGTTAGACTTAATAACAGATTGAAAATTCAGGTTTCTAATGTAATTCCTTATGAGAAATCCCACATGTTTGACTTTAAAATTAAGGTTCAATTTATTTATATTCTTTACAAACTTCAAAACTTAATTCTGCCTGAGACTTTTCTATAAATATTTCTAGCTTCAAGAGCCTGTGCTGGAAACTTACAACAGGGGTTAAAAACAAAGCAAAATAATCAAATCTCACAAGATTTGTCCTGAAACTTAACTTATGTTTTTGTGCCTCATCCTGGTCTTACCCCGACTCTGTGGCTTTGTCACTATCTGAAATTGTAACATTTGATTTTTGTCTTCACCTGCGGCATTTGTGTTCCTTCCAGAGCTGACAGACATCCATGAACTTGAGAGAAAGACATTAGAAGAAGATTTTGAGAAATTAAGACTTACTTTGCAGGTTAGTAATGTTTTGCCTGATAACACTGTGGTTTTATGTAAGATCCATTTGAAAGTGGGCCTTGATAAAAATGTTTGAAGTTGTCTCCACTTCTTTACAAATGCACAATGGCAGTGATGTAATGTGTATTGAAACACATCATTTTGTCATTTCCATGTTATATTGTGGCAAAAATGATAAACACTTCTAATGGTTGGTCTCCTAACTTTGAAGTCAGTATCTTGATGAATGCTTCCCACTGCGTCTTATGGCATTCACTGCCATGTGTTCTGGCCATGGGGGATGTAACAGCTCAGTCGGTCTGTACAGGTCAACAACAACAAACTGACATTTGTATTACGCCTTTCATGTCAGGAGAAGAATACGGCTAATACGCAAGAGGAGGTATAGTGTTTAGAAGCAGTCGGTTCAGTCTGATGAACTTCTAATCCAGTCATCCTAACTTGCAAATGACGACTGCAAACTCCCAGGCAAAGCAAAGTGTAAAAACTCTACAACCTTATGCTGGTTTCTAATTGCACATTTTAAAACAAACAGCAAGGAGGTTCTTGATTTGCATCAGAGGCAAACCTTAAACAGGAGATTTTGAATTTACACTCAGGTGAAGTTTCCAGCATTTTGCAGTAAGCCGGCTAAAGAGAATTTAATAGCCAATTGTTCATAGGTTTAAATTTTCTCTAGAGTTTCAGCAAAATTCTCACATCATAAAATGCAAGGCAGTGGGGCAAGTTTCCTTTGATATTTTAGAAAGCAGCACTGCTGGAAGTCCAACTTAAAAAATAAATAAGTGAAATAAATCAATAAATCCACATGCAAGACAATTACTATATTCACAGGATCGCTAAAAGTCTTTCTCTAAGTACAATACGTGCTGTAAATAATAATAATAATAATAATCCTTGCATTTGATATAGCGCTTTTCACGTCAGGAGGACATCCCAAAGCGCTTCACAGAACACACTGTAAAGTGAATTGACTGTATATTTATGTAAAGTACATCGATTAATTTTTGAAGCAACAGTCTTGATGCAGAATCAAAAATAAACACAAGGTTTTCTTAAATACAAGGTATGCTGCAGACAGTGTTTTCTCAAACTCCTTACATCAGCGCGGCACTGTTAGTAGGTTAGCTGAGCACTTCTACAGGGTAGAAATATTTCTGCTGGGCTTGTTTATTTTGTAGCATGCAAGGACACACCGAACTAAAGATAAGGTAAGAGTCGCATAATACCTGGTGGAAAGAGCACACAATGAGCCAACTGCTACAGCGTATTTGGCCCCGTCCCATCCTACATATTTGAAAGCCACTGGCAAGGGACTGTTCTTGTCCAGTAAATAGTAGGGCATCATTAACGTGAGGGCAGCCGACACTCCAAAATAGGCAACGAAGCAGATCAGCAGCGAATAGCTCTCTGGGGATTCTTTACCTCCTCTCCTGCAGGGCATAAAACAGAAACCTAGAGAATGCTGCAGATGATCTCAAGGTAATGTTACATTACAGCAACAACAGCAAAATTACATTTGTATAGGAGGATGGGAGGACGTCCCAAGGTGTTGGATAGACAGAGTTTCGGACCCGAGCTGGGGGATCAGGGAGGGTGGAGGGCAGGGGGGGAAGCAGGGAGATTGAAAGCTCAATCGAAGAGAAGGGTCTTGAGATGGGTCTTGAAGGAGGCGAGGGAGGGGGCGAGGCGGAGGGACTGCCGGATGGAATTCCAGAAGATGGGGGCAGAGTGGCAGAAGGTCCACCCATCAATAGTGGGGCGAGCCAGACGGGGAACATGAAGCAAGCTGGAGCCCGCTGAGGGGAGGGAGCGAGCAGGATGGTAGGGGTTAGGAGGTCACAGATGTAGGGGAGAACAAAGCCATGGAGGGCTTTGAAGGTGAGGACCAGGATCTTGAATGGTATCCTCTGTGTGATGGGAAGCCAGTGGAGCCGGACAAGGATGGGGGTGATAGGGTCACGGAGCCTAGTGTGGGAGAGGACGTGGGCTGCAGAGTTCTAGATGATCTGCAGCCTATGGAGGGAAATCAAATCTGGCAGCCAGTAGCAGAAGTTGCATATATATCTCAGGTGTTACTGAGCCATTCTTTTTGTAGCAGTTTTGCAATTTAAAGATACAATTCATTATTGCCCATTAATCCTTCCAGGAGGTACCTAAGAATTCGCCTTCCCCATCCTGGCAGTCGCATGCACATATCATGTTCCAAACTATATGGTATATTCTACGACATTATTTCCTAACAGAAATCATTCTAATTTATTCTTGTAAGAATCACTGCCTAGAGGCTCTAGATTTGATAAGAAAATTCTTATCTTGGTTTAAAGGGGTAAGATGATCTCTGAATCCCTGCTACAGATGATCTCTGAATCCCTGCTACAGTTGTTTTCAATATTTCAATGTTGTGTTCAAGGATCAAGTCGACACGTTAACGTTCCAGAGCCGTTCCCTGAAGGATAAAGCTAAACGGTTTGAAGAGGCCTTACTTAGAAGTACAGATGAACAAGTCGAGGTATACAGTGTTTCATTGTCTTAACTGTAATCTACGTAAGTAGCACTGTTGTGTTTGGAAGCTTAACATTGTGTATTGAGTGGCAGTTCATGTATGTGCATATTATGTGTATATTGCCAGAGGCAAGCTTGTGTATATGTGCAGAGATAGTGACACTGAGTCAGTGCTGGGGCATTACAGCTTTCCTTCCAGATTCATGCTGCAATTTCCCACATGGTAATATTACAGCACCCATTGCGAAGACAGGAACTCTGTCTTTCGTCAACATTTACATGTGGAGATTGAACAAACGACAAGGCAAACGTAGGCTGCAGTTTCACATATGAACTGAATTTTTGGGTGTAGGGTACAGAATTATATGTACCGTGTATAAATGCTGTGATTGATGTTTTGTTTATATAGTTGTCCATTGCTGCAATCTAATAAAACAGCAGTGTTCTTTACCCTCCTGCCCAATGCGGGTCTGGAGATCACAATACACAAGTCATCAGAATAAATGGCTCATCTGCTGTTTCCAGTGTGCACTTTAGCCTGTAGGGACTGCCACCTGCAATTAAAGAAAATCTACTCACAAGACAGCACCACATCCATGGGAACTTTTATGTCCTCCATTTATGTTGCCACTGGGTATTCTGCCACAGATACAAGTCTCAAGAGTGCTGCAGAGCTACTTTTATTTAGGAAAATAGAAATAGGGGTAGGTCATTTGGCCCATTTTATGTAATGCTATTTTGTAAGATCATGGCGGATCTTTGCATTCAAACCCTGCTTTTTTTCCACCCTTCAACACCCTGATTTCCCATTTTAACTGGATATGGAGTATCCTGCATGTTAAACTGAGCATTTGGTCTGGTTGTGGAAATTCTCCTGACAATGTAAAGGGAAGATTGTGTCTGACTAATTCTTTTAAAAAAATCCAAAAAAAGTGGAGAATGGAGATGCAGCAAATGTTTTTATGGACTTTAGAAACGGTTCAATGAGGTGCTCCACAAGAGTTTGTGGCCAGAATTAAGAAATGGTAGCAGAGTGGATAGAGGCATTGATTGAAGGACTGGTGTCAGAGTGGGAATTAAAGGAATGTTTTTCTGATTTGGCGGAGAATAGTTAGTGGGATCTCTCAGAGATTGGTGTTAGAACCTCTCTTCTCCCGATATGAGATGAGACTAGAGAGGGTAGAGCTTCAGAGAACGTTGGGTTTGATATGATAGAGGTGTTTCAGGTAATGAAAGCTTCTGAGAGAATTAATCATGGAAAACAAATTCTGCTGGTTGGTGATTTAAGGACATTCAGAATTGTAATAAGGAAAGGTTCATAAGAACTTTCCCTCCCAAAGGATTATCAAGGGGCGGGTATTAGAGCAAAGTTAATTGGTGCATTTAAAGAAGAATTGGCAAACATGTGCTAAGGAAGGACATTAAATAGTATTGGGAAAGAGCAGGGAATTAGGATTAAGATAAATAGCTTCTTGAAGGAGCAAGACACTACATTATGAGGGTTCAATTCATGGGTGGATATGTGTATGCATCTGAAGGTGCATCCAAATGTGTATAATTCATTGGTTTGGCTAAATTCCAAACTAGATGTAGCGTGGATGCATTCCACTCCTAATATACAGGGCACACCCAGCTTGCACTGAGCAATACCATAGAGCAACACAAATGGATACATTCTCTGTAAAGTGTCAAATTTTGCTCCACTTGTTTCAGTTTTTAATGTCTTTAATTTTATGGGTTTTGAATTTATAGATTGCCTTGGCACCATATCAGCACATAGAAGAAGACATGAACAGCTTAAAACATGTTCTTGAAATGAAAAATCAACAAATCCATCACCAGGAAAAACAGATCATGGAACTGGAAAAACTGGTCAGGAAATCAACTTGTAAAACATTATTAAACATTCAGCAGCAGTGTCGGCAAAGTTTGCTAAATGTTCACATTTCGGGTTTTCATGAAAAATAGTCATTCCTATTTTTGTCTGTACATTACCCTTCCTTACCTGTATTTAATGCCGACCTCTCTCAGCTCACTTACAAATCTTCATGCTACATTGGAGCAGGAGTGTGATGAACTTTGGTTAGCCACAGCAGATATCACAACACCACCAAATTACATTTCTATAGCGCCTTTCAGGTCGGGAGGTTGTGCCAAAGCGCTGGAGAGTCAAGAATATGCACCCGAGCTGGGGTTTGTGATCAGGAGGAGTGAGGCTAGGAATAGGAGAGTGAAGTCACAGTCAAAGTGTAAGATTTTAAATCGCAGTCAAAGTGTAAGGTCTTAAGTCGGGTCTTGAAGTAAAAAAGGACGGGACAAGCAAAAGTATTACATTATAGCATAATCACAATATAAGCAAGTACCAAAATGTTCACTAATTTGAGCAATAGACTTGAAATTCACTTAGACATCCATTTTTCAATGTTTTCACTTAGAACTTGCATATAAGAAATCCATGTGGTTCATTGTTCCTACTTTTGTGAGATCAAGTATTTTTTTCTGGCACTTTTGCAGGCTGAGAAAAATGTTGTGTTGGAAGAAAAAGTTCAAGTTCTTCAACAGCAAAATGAAGACCTGAAAGCCAGGATTGAACAGAACGTTGCTGTAACAAGGTAATCAGTACCTACAATCACCCAACTGTAACCTGCAATAAAACCAGATGAAGTTCTACTTCAATTGCTACTCTGTATATACACTATTGAAAGTTATTAGCCAAGTATGGGAGGTAATTGAATATCCACTGGCAAGTAATTACTTAAACATTTACTTGTATTTTTGTTACTCACTTTTTCACATTGCATCTATTTTATCTTTCCTTGCTTTTTATAATAATCCTAATAATCTTTGCATTTCATACAGTCCCTTTCACTTTGGGAGAATGTTCTGAACACTTCATAGGAATTACTGTAAAGTGTAATGACTGTATTATGTAGGCAAAATGCTATAAAAGGAGATGCTCCATGATGGATCAAGTCACAGACATAAAGTGACATATGCTGGGATTTGCGTAGAACTTAGTCTTTCTAAACACTGGAAAGAAGGTTTACATCCAATATCTCCCTACTGTTACAGGTTAGAATTTCTCAGCCTTTAAAAGTGAGTTTTGCACCAGTTGCCCATCTAGCATTCATCCACAAAATGGACAGCATTAATTTTAGATCTCTTGAATAATGGAACATGAATTACCACAGCAGTATTAAAATAAACATTTCTAACATTGTTAGACTTGTAAAAAGAAACAATGTGTATGGGGGTGGGGGGAAGATGGTGTTAACTGTGGTGTAAGGTGACAATATGTGACACAGAATTCTAAATACATCTAGTACATATTGGTAAAAATATATTTAACTTGAACATTTGGACCAGCAAATCTTTACAGATTGTTTTTATTCTTTAAAACCTGATTCTATTTTCTTATTATCCATTTTGGTCATTAATTGGCCTTAAAACGTATATGAAATTATTCATGTATGAGGGAGCAGTATTTTGTATGAGTTCTGCACTTTGTTGCATCTAAAAACAAATTTAAACAGTTTCTTTATCCTGTATTATTTAAGGTGAGAGAACTGGTGAGAGAACACATTAAGAGATGAGTTTCCATTTATACACTTTCAAATGTCCTATGTTCTGTGTCTTTTCAGTGCCTGATCTGACAGTTCCTTAAAGATTAAAGTCCTTTTTGTCTGTGTGTGCTTCTAGACAACTGTCTGAGGAAAACGCAACGCTGCATGAATACGTCGAGAAGGAGAGTAAAGAAAAGAAAAGACTCAGCAGGACAAATGAGGAGTTGGTTTGGAAACTGCAGGTTGGAGATCCAGGAAGCCCGGTTAAAATATGCACATCATCTTCAAATCTGGAGTCTTCTCAGGACACGCTCAGTCCATCAGCAGTGAGCTCTAACCCAAGATGATAATAAAAACACACAGGATATTCCTTGCATTACACATATAATCTACAAAGCTCAGCCGCAGCTGTTGAATATTACTCCCTGGTTCTGCTCAGAGAAGAGCCATGAGTTATGAATGAGATTTACAGAAGTTGCTTTGAGCATGCTTAGCAGCAGATAGGTAGCTATAAGCAGGAGGATTTGCTCTCAAATCCCCTGAAAGCCTTGTTGAAGTCAATGACACTAATGTATTTTCTGATCAAGGTGAATCCAGTACAGTTTGACCTAAGGAATTTCTTTCTTCCTCGGCTGTGCTGTTAAGTACCAACGTCAGTTATTGACCAGGTGTGCAAAAATCAAAGGGGAAATTTTCCTTGCCCAGCGGGCACGTTAAACATTAGGATTCACGCCCAGAGTTTGTCCCTCTTGAGTGACAATTTGAAATGAAATAAGACTTTTAGACGAGTTCAAGCTTGTGATTTTTTTTTTCCCTTTTAGTATTGGACAGAAGTGCTAAATTCTATATTTTTACTCATTTGTTGAAATATTTTAGTCTGGTGTCTATTTTGAAAATATGACCTGAATGAAATTCACTGGAATTTTGAGAAAAAGTCGTCATGTTGTCCATCACCAGCAGGTGGCGCTCCAGATCATTGACGTGCACCAGCAGTTTGAGAAGGGACCACATTGCAGCCTTTAACTCAAGCAGTGGCTTAAGGAACAGGCCAGGACTGCTCAGCTCTTTTTTTCTCCACCATTTACAAGTCTAAACACTAACTTCCATTATTTTGTAATAAACACTCTGGATTAAGCAAGATAAGACAGAGACCCGTTTATACTGATGGTATTTTCCTGCTCTACACACACAGTGGTTACGAAAATGAATGCTGTACAGCTTGAAACAACGTTATGTCTGATTGGATGAATGTACATTTTTGTAAGCAAAGCATTATCCTAAATATAAAAAGAATGCCACATTATAGATATCAAATCACCCCAGCTTCAGAATGTCAATAAACAGATTGCTTAGAGGCAGTACAGTATATAAGTGATATAGGAATGATCAAATTCCATTTTGAAGAACGCATTTGGACCTACATTATTTACTAGTATCAGATGATTGTGCAGTGGGTCACAGCAGTACTCAAGCAAGGCTATTACTAGCTGTTGTTTGGCTTCTTCAAGCAGTTTCAGAAAAATTCATGGGACCTATGATTTAAGGGGATACCACACATCAGAAACATTCTGCACACAAATCAGTAGTTATGAAAATTGAATGTAGAGGTGACAGGACAATGTCATTGTTCTGATGGATTATATTTTGGGTGTAGCTTGCCTCTATTTCGATAGCATTATAGAGAATAGAGAATTTGTCAAATTCTTAAACATAATCTAAAATTTGAAGCCATTTTTCTGTAACTTATTTTAAGACATACAGATAATCAGCCTCAAAAGTTAGCACGAGGTGAAGAATCTACCAAATTCTAGACACTGAAATGCTACATAAATAGAAATAAAAGTACATTGAAATAGAATTTCTCCCCCTTGGTGCTTTATCCATTGAAAGTGCATTGAAAAACAAATATTTGGAAATTATAATAGATTAGAAAGACAGGAATCAATTTTTCTTAAATGATATTGTCAATATGAGATAATATGGGTTCATGTTGTCTACTCTGAATGAGGTTTGGTAATCGCAGTTCCTTGTGCCCAGAATGTCATAGGACAAGAATTACTGTCGTTTAGCATAGATTTACTATGATACCTGGAGAATAGTCACCATGGGATAGGTTTAGCATAAGTTAGGAAGGGGGGAAATTGAACATGTCAAAACAAAACAATGAAAAAATATAAAAGCTAATATGAACTATGTAAATGTTACGTGTCAAGGTGCATATTTGAACCAGAATTGAGAAGACATTCTAATCTGGAAGTTGTTACTGCGAGCACCAGATTGCAAAATGAATATTGGTATCCCTCAACTTGATAAGTAGAAGTATTTATCAAAATAAACAAAAAAAAACAAGTTTATGAGGTCAGTAACAATTTACTAAATAATTTGTTTAATGATAAACCATAGAATGCTTGAGTGTTTACAGCACAGAAGGAAGCAATTCAGTCTGTGATAGCTGTGCTGGTGCTAGAATATTTATCAATTTCCTTTTAAATGCTGTAATGGACTCAGCTTTTGGAGAAAGGCATTCTATATTGGGATATTTTATGCAAGATCAGTAAAAATGACAATCTTTTCATTACATCTTTATAATAGATCTGTTTGTTTCTCAAATTGTCATTTTAACAATAAGATCATTCAATGTGTGCAAAGGAAAAGTAATAATTTTGGCCTGAAAGATACAGGAAATTTCAATGGATATTGACCAATTACTAAAAATGTGATGACCCAACTCCCCCTATCTGAAGCTGAAGCTGAAAAGAACACCCACAGTTCTTTTTTAATGTCTTATGGGTAAAAACCTTACTTCCAGAATACCTATCCTACTGTCTTCCCATTTCAGCATCAAAGTGTTTCATAAATGAATCCTGAATTGTGGCCTCAAAGACTCTTCCTAGATCAACCCATTCCACTCATATTTCTGTTGGGGTAAAAAATACTTCCCGGTTTCTGGCCTGAAATTGTCCTGTGCAACTCTGAACCTGTGCCGTCTTGTTTTGCTGCCTTGGTATTTCTGAAAGTATTGTTTTGGGTTTAGTTTTTCCATCTAACTGAAAATCTTATAATCTTATCTCTCTAAGGTCCTTTCTGAGATATCTCTTTTCTCAGCCTTTCCATTCATTATTTGTAGTTCATTCTTCTTACGACGAGAGGTTATCCTTGTTGCGCTCCTTTGCACTGCCTCTAGGGCCTGGCTGGTGACTAGAACTGTTTGCGATGCAAGCAGCCTCACTGGAACATCGTACAATTAGAGCACGACATCTGGGAATCTGAACTCGACTAATTTATAATTATAGCCAAGCATCCTATTTGTTTTTATTGCTGCCTCACACTGTTTTGACATAGGGAGCATTGATCCAACTAACACTTCCAGATCTCTCTCAGCTTCCCCAATGGCAAGTTTGATTTTTGATTCCGACCGTGAAGTACATGCACTTCCTATTTTTGTGTATGCTATACCTTGCATATATCTGTATTGAACTTCATTTGTCGATCATTACTCATGTACATACCCTACTAAGTTTATTTTGGAATGGTTATGTATGGTCACAATTGCAATGTGATTTAGATGTTACTAAGAACCTTCCTGACCAAAAAAATTATTTTGCAATGGAATTAGTAGAGATGAAAAGCAAAATTGTGGGCTCTGGAAATGCCCAACAGGTCAAGCAGGTCCAGAAGAGAAAAATAGCATTTTATAGAGGGAATGAAGATATTCAGCAATCAATGTACACTCAGTCCTGATGATACACAGACCATACTACAAGAAGACAATGCAATATACAACAACAAATTTACATTTGTATAGCATCTTTCGTGTCGAGAGGGAAGGAGGTAATATAATATTATATGAGATTGGAGGAGGTTATATAAATCACTTGGAAATTCCAATGGTGTGGGAAGAAATGAAGGAACACCCGGTCTTGTTCCTGTAGAAAGTACCTTAGGAGGAACAGCCAAAGATGGGAATGATGGAGGTGTGAGCTGGACTGCTATAGAGGATCTAGTCATTCCAGAAAGCAGAGGAAGAAGAATATTAAGCTGATCCCGGGATAATTGTAGGTGGCAAATACAATGGAAGATGATTTGGTAGAGGCTAAATAGATGTTTACGATGGGATAGAAAATGATAAGAAGGGCTCAGTTCCTGTTATGAGAGGATGCAATGTGGAAATGTGGCACTAAAAATGAAGCAGTCACGATCAAACACTATCTCGATTATAAGGGAAGCCATCGATGGAGGAAAGAAAATGAGCCCATTTCAGAGACTATACATCATAGCATATATAATGGAGAAACCAAGAGAAAAAGATGGAACGCGGTTATAATTTACAGGACGAATCATAAAATATTTACTGAGCAGAATGCCTGTTGGTTTGTCTTGTTTGTACTGATGTCTCTCTCTCCCCCCCCACCACCCACTGTAGATATCCACTAAACCTATTCCCCTGTGATTTCTCCATTTAATATTATCTTTCTTGAAGTAATGATCCAATTCTCTTTTAAATTGTGTTGTGGACTACTTCAGCTATTTCTAATAACCCCCTATTTTAAAAAACAATCTACCCCTCCCTTTTTCTTCTGCTGATAATTCTTAAGGTTTGTGCTCTTGTTACCAACTAAAGCAATGGGAAGAATCCTAACTTAAATTAGATGGGATTGTGTAGGGGTATAACAGATGTGTTGGAAATCTGACTAAGTGAGACAAAAGAGATGTGAAGAAAGAGTCGGGCACTGTCCACAGGAAGGCGAGGAATAGATGGAATTGAGAAAAATACTCAAAATTCTCAGAATCAAAGCGAAGGAAACATCATGGACTTCGCAGTCTGTTTATGACGCATTAACTGTCTCTTTGTATATGTAGTCAATGGTTTTACATCCATAATCTTTTTTGGTCTCATCCCTAATACACTATTGAGGCTTCTGATGCCCCACTGTTCTAGATTTGATGAAGGGTGTTAACTCTTTTTTCTCTTCCAAGACTTCCAGCATCTTTTTTTCCCCAGTGTCATGGGTGTTGCATATCTACTTCCAATTCTAGGCTTCTCCCAGCTGCCTTTTTTTAAGATTTAGAAATCCTATTCAGATATACCGTAAGTTAGAACCCAATCTTTTCAAATCTGCTCACAGCTAAAACACTGTTGTGGAGATTTACCAAACAGCCTGAGATTTAATTTAACTCATTGCTATGTGATTGTAATATTATTCCCTTAACTCCTAAAAGCCACATGGCAGGTGAACAATCACTTTCTCTCAGGATTATAAATGAGCTTCATGCCCTGCAGGGAATTTACTGAAGTAGCTTAAAAAATCCCACTAAGATAAGGTAGGAATATAAAAGCAGCCCTATCTTGAACTATTAGATATATTTGCATCTTGTTTTGCATTTTCAAACAGAACAATCTAAATAGCTTTGAAGACAATTTTCAAGGTAAGTACAGTACGTTTATAGAATATTTCAGAAACCATAAGATAACAGGAATTTCAGATGAAGAACTAATGCAATATCATCCTTTCAGAATATCCACCTTTAAAGCTTCAAGCTGATTCTTAAAACAATTTCATTGTCCAGAATCAAACATTCTACCTGGTAATTTAGCAGTTAATTACTCTCTACTTAAAGAAACACATCCTGATATCTATCCTGAAATTGCCATTCACAATCCTACTATGTTCCCAATCAACACTTTATGAAGCCTGACCTTGATTACAGCTTCCAGTTAGTGGAAATCCAATCTACCGGAGACTGGCACTGTAGCTCATCTTCAGTCACCTGCAGCAGTGACCAGGAGGATTTTGATGTCTGGATAGTAATTTTTGAAGGGAGGGGTCATTGAGAAAAACAACTTTTTGTTTGGGAAGTAAGAAAAGCTGGATGTAATTTTCTTTAAATTTTTACAAGTAATGATGCATTGTAATGCAACTTATGTTATTGCTTTAAAAGCAAACAAACAGTTCTTCTTAAAATGACGCCACTTAATGCAAGATTGTTGAAAAATTCCACCAGCCATTTGTCATAGAATAATAGAAATTTACAACAACTTACATTTGTATCGCGCATTTCACATCGGGAGGACTTCCCAAGGCGCTGGACAGTCAGGAATTTGGTCCCAGGCAGGGTAGGGTTAAGAGGGTGTTGAGACTCGCCTTAAAGGAGGCAAGGATTTGATTGAGTTTAAACGCAAAGATTAAGTGGCCCACTCTATTGTACTCATTCATTGCTTCCTTATCAATCACCAATGTATGTTCTGGTAATTATCACCTGAGATACTAAACTATCTTATTAAGTTTGTTATCAAAAGATGCAATTGGTTCATGAGATTTGGGGAAATCCCAACGCATATCAGCAATCAAATGTAGCTTCACCAAAATATGAAGCCAACTGCAAGCAGCACTTATTCCTTGGCGGAAGAACTATGCTACAATCATAGGCTTACCTTGTGGATGCTTTGCCTGGAGACTGCAGGAGCTTCACCAGAGTTATATGGGTTTTTGCATTTTCCTCTCAAAAGTGAGATATTTTCAGAAAGAGCAGACAACTAAACAAGATCACAAAAGTTTCAGATGAAGAAGGCCCTTCAACCTTTGAGCTCATCCTACCTTTTTTCTAGCATCAGATTTTTTTTGTTAATTCCTAATGACTTCAAGCATTCTTCCTGGTAACTAACTTCTAACTGTTGATTGCTCTTTACAATTCTGAACTTGTGCTTTCTTGTCCTGCTGTTTTTGTTCATTGTCTCTGCCTTTAGCATTGTATATTCTTCTAAAAATCTGAGATATCTCAAAGCCAAAGAGCCCTGGCTGATTTGACTGTTTATTGCTTATCCCATGAAAGCTTGAGATCAATCTTATTGCTGTCTGTATTGTCCTCAGGGCTTCCTGTGTTGCAGTGACTAGAACTGCATACAGTACTCCAAGTGCAGTCCAGCCAGAACCCTGCATAGCTTCAGGATGACTCCTGGGTTCCCTCAGTCAACTGATTTTGGAATGTAGTCCAGCAAACTGTTTCCCCTATTTATGCTTTCACAACATTTCTGTGACTTCCTAGCAGCCTATGATGTTTTGGTAACTGATGCAACATGTATAGGCAAATTCATGTTTTTAGCTACAGGCTGACAAACTGTGATGATGCCAGGATCAGTGGCGGAGTTGGTTTGTTTGCCTTAGTGCTCCTAAGCAGAGTGCACTGATATGGGTTCATCCCTACAAGTACCCACCAGGAAGTTGGAAATCATACCTAATTCGGTGAGAAAGACCTAAATAGGTGTGGGGAGTCTTGGCCAAAAAGATGTTGATGTTCAGTGATATTAACTGTTTACAATCTGTTGTTCACCGATTCTTTCAGCAAATGAACAGCACATCATTTGAATCTAAAAGGAAGGATATTTGTTAAATGCAGCACACATGAAAATATTTGTTTTGTGTAGCAGTAAAACTGGAGCAGAAAACACAATGTAGACATTTTTCAGGAATAAGATCCATTTATTTGACTTTGATCTTCACTTTTAAAAGAGAGCGTCTGTTTTGCTGTTCAATTTGCATTGTTGCTCATTCTCACCCCAACTCCAATGATTGAGGTTTGATTTCACCTTAACTGGAACTAACTCAGTAACCCTCTCACAGCTAATTTGTTTCAGTTGTTACACTGCAGATTTATTTCCAAACAAACACTAATTCAAGAAAATACAATAAAAGCTCACCTGGAATGCATAAGATATTGTATACAATGCTGATCACAAATTGCATATTGACATATATCTCAAGCAGTACAGTAATCTATTTGGGTTTTCTTAAGAGCACAAATTGCCAGTACTTTCTGAATATAAAAGCAGTGTAAATATACAGTACTTACTAACTGAAGGTGCTTATGTCTTGCTACTTTTTTTTAAATGGTGGAACAAACAAGCTGTAGATCCTCGATGCTACTTAGCCACTGTAGCTCAGGAACTCAGTCATGGTTTATATACAAATTACATCATTCTGAGGCAAACTGTTTATTGATTCATTTGCATTTAACACAAACCTTGTTAAGACAGGTAGCCGAACAAATGTGTAAAAATACAAAAAATCAGGTAATTTAAAGGCTGCACTGATTGGATCTGTGTCCTGTGGACACTTAAGAAGTTTGTTTCTGATGTAGATTGGCATTTGTGTGGTCAGCTTTAGTTCTAGTATTTGAAAAGTTGTGACTTTATATTTATTTCCATTGGTTGAGTTGGATTTTGTGCAACATGAGTGTATTACTAGACTGTATTGTCATTACAGTATAGCCATGCTCCAGCACAATTAAAGATGGAAGTGTGAAAACTCTCGTCCTCACGTCTGCTTTTGTTTGGAATGAATCACTTCACTAATAGGCATGAAGCTCAGACATTAAAGCTCTGACAATTCCTTTTTATTCCTCATTCTTAAACTCAACTCATAGATATTGATATTACAACTTCTTAAACACAGAAACATCGCTAATCCTTGATTTGACAAGCCTATTTTTGTTTAAACACCAATTTATGGGGAACGCACGTTAGAATTGCCAAGTGCAGCATTAATTGTAGATTAATTAACCTCAGTGAAGTTTGATACATGGGTTGGCTTCATCACGTTTGTGTAGATTTTTCTTTGCTACATGAACACTTCATAGAAAATTTGCAGGTGTGAAACCTACTTTGGGATTATTACATCTGACTTGCATTTTGCACTGTAATTCAAATCACATGTATTGAGCAATATGGCAAGAGTGCAAAAATCATCAAACTAATAATTGTGGAGTCTGTAATGTAGTGATTAGCTCACTCGCCTCAAAAGCGAGACTACCCTGGTTCGATTCCCAGCAGGGCGAAACCTTAGGCAAGATTCCTTACTCGACACGCCTCTGTTTACCCATCAATTAATAGGAACCTGGTTTTTAGTCGATTGGTGAATCGCTTTCCTGGGGTAAAAATCCCTCAAAACATTTGGTCATTCACTCCATGACTGTTTGTGGGACATTGCTACGTGGAATTGGCTGCCGCAATTCACCCACAAAATACAATCAATCCAGTTTACAATATATCATGCGAAGCATTTTGAGATTAAGACTTGATCACTGATGGAATTTGGACAATGATCAGGATTACAAAATTAAATAATTCATAACTACAAACAATAAAATCATGTTCTGCTTATTTTTTTTAGAAATTTCAGGAATCCACTAGTCAAACCTGAGAGAGATCACTCCTTAGATCTTTCAGGTTTGACTGATGCATTCCTGAATAATTTTTTATCATTTTTTTAAAATTGAAAGCTCGCCATTGAAAGCTCCAAACATGACTCAGGAACCAAACTACGTTTTCAACATTTATTTCTTCTTTACCTGCCCAGAATGCCACATGATTGTATAAAATTTATTTGTCAGGTTATGTCCCTTAGCAATCTTTCCCCTATGTTATGCGCCAGTTGTACAAATGAAACTTCAAGAGTACCTGGCTGGCAATTTGTGGCATTGACTATTGGTTCACTCCTGGAATCTCTCCAGCTTCAACTGATGTGTTCCTAGATAACTTCTTGTAAAAAATTAAGACACTAAATTGCCATTAAAAAAAGTTTATTTACAGTTTATAAGAGCGCTAACTGAGGAATAGCCGATAAAGTATACAGAAACAACCCATTTGTTACAGATAAAACCAACCATACAGAAGTTTCTTAGATAATAACAATTCATTAAAAATTAAAATGAATATTTTTAATACACCCTTAGACAAAAAAACAAAATAATTTGGCTAATAATTTACCATTAGCAAGAAAAAACAAAACCACAAATGTATACTTAGATAACTTCTTTTTACATAAATACAGATCATCAACCACGTATGAACATAATATACACACACACGACCATCCCACTTTCTTGTACTGAAATCACTCGGCTATTCACACACCACCACTAAACAGCGTAGTTTGAACAGATTCACTCGCGTTATACTTGGATATTTGGTCAAAACTCATTTATTCAGATTCTCTGCAAAATACTATGGCTGTGGCCAGATGATATGAGAAATGTTATAAGTGTTTCTCCCAATGCTGTCCAGACTACAGAAAAGTAACCCTAAAGCCATCCTCAAGGAAACTTTAGTATACTTTTATATCATGTAAACCTGATGCACATTTCCTTGCTATTAAAATGCTCAATTTTTAAGGGTGCGAAGTATTAAGAATATTAAATATTTGTGAATGATCTACCCCGGTCACAGAAACATCCCAATCCCTCCACACTGAGAGAAAGAGATGGTTACAGTCACTTTGCTCCCAAACCTGAATCTCTCCCTCCCGGCCTTCAAAACCTTCCCAAAAAAAACTATGACTACATTGTACGTTTGTTCGCCCTCCTCATGTCCTAACCTGCTCAGGCTTTCACTCCATTTTTGTGAAACATTTTGACATATTCTCCATTTGAAAGGTGCTACTTAAGTACAAGCACTAGTTGTTATCAAATGTCTTACCATAATGATTTAATGCAAAAAGCATTATGCAGACATACTTAGAATTTCAAAAAGAATATGACATCTTAAAGCATCCAACACAAACAACAGAGGTGTTTTGTGGTCAAACCTTTATGACGAGTCTAAAGCTGGGAAAAGAATTAAATATTTGAAAATATCATCAAAGCTGTAAACTTCTTTCAAGTTGTAGCTTTTGGAGGGGATGGGTGGGGGGGGGGGGGGGGGTGCATCTTCAGTGCTCCATTAAAAGAATAGGATCACCTTCCCTGTTCTCTGATAACTGCCTTGTCTGACACACTAGTAATGCACTAATATTTGCAATTTACCCAACATTTAATACCCGATTTACAAATAACCATAAAGGTTATTTACATTTTACATTAAAGGTAAGTTACATTTTGTGTACCTCAAATATCTGGAAGACAGAAGACGTAGTGAAATAACAGTCTATAGCTCAATATGTGTCACAGATCACAGAATCTAGGACAAAGCAAAGCACAGATACTACAAAGGTGTATTTTTTCAATAACATCCAATTTTTCTCATCCCAGTGAAGTCTTAAACAATAGACAATTACTCCCCTATTCAATTTAAATCTTTTGATATTGTTATGCCAATTAGTTATTGGCAATATACTACCTAAAGCTTTACTACCTAGAGTTTCAAACCAGAGAACAAATAAGGAACTTGTTTTATGGGGGGAAGGGGGATTTTAATGAGGTGTGAGCTCTCCTGAAGGTAACTGTTTCGACGGGTGCCAGGAAGCAACAAAGAAACTTGCAACAAACAGATTACAGATTTGACTCTTTACCAAGACAAGATGGTTCACACATGGGGGGATTTCTCAGTAAATTCCATGCCATCCGCAGGATGTGATCTCCTGCCGTATGTGCTTTTCATTTCGGCATGAGAAATCTACCAGGCATGTGATAAGGGAAAAGGCACCACCATCTGGTGAACAAACACATAAAATATATCTACTGTATTCCACTCTGATAGGACATCAAAACTGAGTCTTAATATCATTAAACGTTTTGAAAGATTAAGCACAGAATTAGCCCAAATTAGTTTCCCTTATCCTGGAGCTCTTGAAGGCCCATGTTGTACATTTAATCAGTGGCCCAGTTGGGTACAATAATCTCAGAGAATCTTAGCAACAAGACATAGTAATGCCTCAGGTTGCATTTAATAGTTGTGCTGGGGGGCCACTAACCTACCAGCAAAATAACCATCTGCATTAATAATAATAATAATAATAATCCTTGCATTTGATATAGCGCTTTTCACATCTTCTAGACGTCCCAAAGCGCTTCACAGAATATACTGTAAAGTGAATTGACTGTACATTTGTGGGCGAACGCAGCAGCCAATTGCACACAGCAGTGTCCCACAAACAGTCATGGATTGAAAATGACCAATTTATTATTGTTTTGTTTTTTGGAGAAAAAACTGAAGATGCAATGTAACCACAAGGTATGAAATGCTTTCATTTATAATTGGTATGACTGATTAAATGAATTTATACCACTCATAGGGTAGGTAGAGTAGGGAGAACTAATTGTCTTTTGCTGAGAAAGTGAACAACTTGGAAATGCTTTCTGGTCTAAAAGGGTCTTAGAGGAAAGGAGCATTTCAGTGTCTCGCAGCTGAAGGACAACCATTATTGTCAGGCGTCAGTTGGTAGGACTCTCACCTGAGAGTCAGTAGGTTGTGGGTTCATTCCCCACATTGGGGCTTTGAGCTCTTAATTTAGGCTGATATTCCAGGCTGCAGAGCACGGCACTGTGGGAAGTACCGTCCTTTAGATCAGATGTTAAATCAATTTCCCACCTGCTGGTTCAGGTGGACACTAAAGATCCCATGGAAAGACTTGAAAAGAGTAGGAGGTTTCTCAGTGTCCTGGCTTACAATGCCTCAGAGAATTTTTAAAAATGGTTATTTGTTTCATGGCTCTTTGTGGTTTGTTATGCACAAATTAGCTGCCCCATTTGCCTCCAAAGTAAAATCACTATTGCTCTGAGACACTTCAATGACATAAGGCACTCTCAAATGCAAGCATTGTAATTATTATAAATCAATTTCTGGATGAATGCCACTTCAACTCAAAAAGCAAATTGTTAAGAGCAAGAGAGATGAGAAAGATTCATCTGTGGAGCGAGATGCTCTGGAAGAGACAGAGAGGGCAGCTGGCAATCCTTATTCTAGGTCTCCCATCGCCAATAAAAGCTCTGAACAATAAATATTGTCTTTTAGCCACAACAGCTGCTGTATTAATTTAAACAAAGCTACATAAATTTTTAAGAGTGAACGCAGAGAAAAATACGTTGATAGCTCTGCAGCTGATGACTGCCTTTCAGATTTTACAAGGTTATATGTCATCCAATGTGTAAAATTGGGTTCTTTATCAGTGCCACAACTGTTGGAACACATATATTTAAGTGTGATTATCAGTGCCACAACTGTTGGAACACATATATTTAAGTTTGATTTTATGAAGGTGAATGACAGATTGGAAGTCTCAAGAAAAAATGTTCTCATTGGTACGAGTTAAAATTGAAGGTTGTTTTATGGCATGTGACACACGTTGATGATCATCTCTGTTCTATCTACTTACTGAGCAAGTATCGTAGCATAACAAGGACTTGCTCAGAACTGTAGACATCGGTTTTATTTCAAGACAATTGCTATGTACAGTCACAGAGATTGTATGAATATGAAGGTTCTCTTCTACCTTATGGCACAGCCTCATTTAGCACAGAAGGAAATGCTTCATTATATCAATGTTATTTGACAACAGGACTAAAATCAGCTGGTCTCAAATTATGCTTATAAGCAACTTTGTTTTGGATGCAATTCATACACTGACTCAACACCAAGGTTAAACCAATAAAAACTGAAAAACATAAGGTAGGTTTGCCAGAAAGCAGAAGACATTAAAGATTGCAGGCTGAGTATGAGCCGGCTGTTAGCACTACAGAAAGTTAGCAAAGTTTTTGTTCTGTCATGTTATCTTTATCTGAAGGAGGGAAGGCAATAGAGGGGTGTAAGAAAGGGAATTAGGGAGGGTGGCATATAAACACTGACATGGACTGGTAGGACTGAAATAGCCATTTCCATGCTGTAATATTGCATGTAGTTTTATGATGAAGCCACAGCCGAGGAAAAAAGTCAAGATTACGAGTTGAAGTTTCATCCTCTGGGGCCTTATTCAATAATTGTAAATAGAAAACATACACTGCCCTAATTACAGACTGAATGAATCCAACAGAAACTGTACTTGATTGCTAAAAATGTTCAGCAGAAAAGCCTGGGTAAACACATTTAAGTTTTATTGGCAAAGGGCTACACTTATTGGCTAACTATATTATTTACTGTACTTATTTCAGTATTTTCCTATAATCGCCTCAATCAAGTCAGAACTTGCAGTCGGAGGTCGGAGTTGCAGTGGGAAGCTACATCCTACCACTATGTGCTGCTGCACTCCTGGGCACCTACTTCACATACAGCTTGAGTTTTGTCGAAGTTTTAAATGTGAGCATTAAGGCTTCAGGAAATTAGTGGTAACCACTCTATTTGCTGAGTGCTCTGTGTGTGTAGATTACTGACCATTTTCAAGTAACAAAACACATGTTTGTTATGTAAATAAGCTTCTTTAAAAAAATGTTGCAAATACAATGAGCAAGACTGCTTGCAACTAGATGCAAATAAACCACTATATCCAGTGACAAGGTACAGAATTATGTACACAACTTAAACAGATACAATCAAGCATGTGTAAGTTAGACATTATAACACAATGTTGCTATACTCTGAATCCAAGATTACCTTTTCCTCCTTTACTTTCCCCATAGTAAATATAATCTAAACCAACAGTGAAGGAAGATTTGATAACATTGGTAATTAGTTGTACCCATTGATTTTGCCCCTCCTTTCCCCCGTCCCCCCACCTTCACCACCACCACAAGAATATTCACTATTGGCACAATAAATAGTTATAAGCTTGTTGACCTTTAGTCTATTCATATGAATCATACTCATATGATACTAGAATAGGCTCTCAGCATCAATGGAAAGGATCCTGAACAGTCAGATAGATGTTAAGAGGGAATTAAGAGTTAAATCGTCACCAGTAAACCAACTGATATTGAATTAAGATCAACTTCCTTCTCCCTTATTCCATTGCTGTAGATGTATTTAGTTTTGTTGAACACTGATAGCATTATCAGTGTGCCTGTGTAAAGATATTGCAATCCCCAGCAGTTATCATCCCCAGAATACAATCAATGAGTGTTTCCTGCAATGTTCATTTTAATGTTCCACAAAAGCTCTCGCAAAGCTCCCATTCTCGCAGATTGATTCCCACAATTTTGATGGTTTTCATCAAATCATTCCTGATACTGAAATATCTACAGATACTGATCAATAAGCTATAGAAATAATAATCTTGGATTTTGAAAGAAAACTGATGATTATTTCACAAGCACCATTTACAAACTAACAGATTCCCAAAGTAGCATGACAGCACTTACAATCTCTGTGGTAATCTCTCAAATATAAATAATGTAGAAGGAGCTGATGCAGGTGATCATCTGAGCCATAAGCATCCGATTGTTCCATAAATTGCTATATGTACCTGGGCAGATGAAACAGCAAACATACCTACTGCAGTGAAGAATCGGCATGTAAATCTACCATGTTAATAATGAGAAGCACCTCGAGATTTTGAGACCTCAAAAACCTTTTTTTTTACACTCAGAGGTAGTTTTGAAATGCTAGTGGTACAGTAATTGATTTTCAATGGTCTTTCAACTAATCCCACCCAGCATACCTACCATCATGAACATCAGTCAAAACTGTCCGATAAGAAGTGCAGCGTTTTGTACAAACAGGTTCTGTTCAAAAGAAACCATACATAGCTGAGATACCTGTGACCTTCTGTCTACTGAATTTTCATTCCAGCTTGTGTTAGAATAAAACAGAAGTTTTCAATAACTTGAGATCGAGGGTCTCTACTTATCCCAAACATTAAAAGTGTAAATAGAAAGGGGCAGAATCACAAGATCATAATCTTTCCCTCGTACAATGATAATATTAGCAAAGACTAGACCCGGACAGATCTGAAACCCATTTTTCAGTTTGTGACAAGTTTTGGAATTGAAAAAGGCCCTGAAAATAACACACTGAGCACAACCAGNAAAAAAAACATCTCAGTATGCAAAGTAGAAAAACACATCAATGATAAGAAGCCAACTTCCTAAGCATCAGTCTTAGAGGTATAAAAACAAAATAGAGAACTCCATGTACATTATGCCCACTTACGAGACCTCAGCTCCAAATTAACTTGTCCTTCCACAAGTCATCGTGATTTCTGTGGCAGTCTCTGGAGGAGATGCACTTGATGTCTGAGCTTTTAGAGAAAAAAGATGCAAGGCTGCAGTTTTTCCAGCCAAACACTTTTCTAACGCTCTTATCTTATAGTTAATAAGGTAATAAGGTTCCAATCAAACAAGAATCAATACAATAACTGGAGAGTAGTTACAAATAGCTCCCTGGCACAAATAGCTTATTTGGTTTACGACTGAAACTCAACATTCTCTAAACACTCACTAAAAATACTTCAATAACATTAGCGCTGAAGCCAACAACCTAAGCATTGTCTTTTGTCTGCATGATCAGTGGTGTGAAATAACAAAATACAGCTCTCTGTTTTTTTTTAGTTTTAGAAGCTGCCGGCACGCCATATTTCAAACTATTCTGTACACATCAAAAGCAAACTTTCATTTTGTATTTTTCTAAACACAGCGGGGAAGGAAAGAAGCACAAACAAAATATTGCTTCTCTCACATGTTCACGTTCACTTAAGAAAACATTATAAGCATATTACAGTACAAGGCACTGGGTTTAAAGCTATTGAAAATGCTACAAATTTAAACATTTAATAGATAACTTAGTTTATTACTGCATGAGAATCATAGCATTTGTTGTGTGCTTATTTGGGGGGGGGGGGGGGTGTTGCTTCCATTGAATGCACCAAATCAAAGCAAATCTATCAAACAGATTATGAGTCAAATTAATTCTCATTTGTTTGAACACCATAGTTCCTTTAAAATGATGTGCTTGGTGTAACTGTTGCTCACGTAACTATGTGGTTCTGAATCTTGATGCCACTCTCCAAGCTTAAATAATGAAGCATCACCTCAGACATGAAGGGCCTTGTATGTACAAATATTTAAGCCTTGTTACATTTATATAAAAATAAAACAATGAGAAATTGTTACAGCATTGTAATTTTCTCGAAGGGTCTTGAGACTGTTTTCATGATCTGTCCACGTCCTCAGCAACAATGGATAACATTGACTCTAGAAAAGCTCAATCTGTTCATGATAATCATTTTTATAATAAATACAGAAATTGTACTCAAGGTTTGCAATCTTAATCCTTTGACAAAGAACTCCACATGCCTATGATTTTCTCATACCATCAACGTGCCAGGGAAAAACCACACACATTTCCACAGCTGCAAATTCTCTTCTTTTGGCAGAAAATCAAGTTCATATAAGTTATGTGACCTCCTGCTGACTCTCTCTCTAGTGCTGGTTGCAATCTTGTATCAACTCAATTCTACTTCACTAGTGTCAGCTTGGCTCAGTTGTTAAGACCTCTGTGTCAGATGTTGTGGGTTCAAGTTACACTTTGGGGCTTTGAGCTCGCAATCTGGACTAAAACATCAGTGCAGCACTGGGGGAGTGCTGCGTTGTCAGAGATGCCATCTTAAAGAAGAGACATAAACTGAGGTTTCATTTGCCCGTTAGATGGAAGTTGAAGATCCCATGACAATTTTCAAACAGAGAAAGGGTGCACTTTACCAGGTCACCTGCCACATAAGTTGGTCATTCACCAGATGGTTGTTTGTTTAGAAATACAACGTCATACTTGACAATTCCATGTGAAGCCTTGAGATGTGTTGAATATATCTCAAAGGGAAAGAATGATTGAGGAAGATTCAGGGCTTGCATTCTCTATGCCCAAGAATTAATCGTGAAAGGAAGGTTTTCTTTTAATGTTGAAACTGCTAATATCTACTATTTAGTTACCCAAACGTTAATGTACCACAAACAGAAGTAAAATTAAGATGGAATAAAGTGGCCCAAATTCTCACTGTGGGTAAAGAAATTAAAGTTGTACTATGTCATTATGATTTTGTTTATGAAGAAAATCTGAAGGTGTTTCTGCACAACAATCATTTCAGAGAAATTATTCAAACATAAAGACCTGAACAGAAATCTACTCATTCCTTTCATTTTGTTAAGGTGTTACTTTTGTTTTAGCTGCTGACTTAGCACCTGCAAGGATAATTAGTAAATCATCTCCGTGCATCGAGGTTCAACAGATTTGCTATCGTTTCCACAAATCCTGATAGCCACACTAACAGGAACTAATTTCTCTCTGCTCACTCCTGCTCGAGGAAAGAACACCAATACCAACCAGCAGAAACTCAAAGACAAATGAGTGACAAAACAATGGGGGCAGATGGAGAGGCTCAACTCTACTGTAGAAACTAACAGCTCCTCCTCTACAGGCACAGAAAGCAAGTAAGAGAGAGACAAAAAAGGATGGAAGCAGCTGGCCACACATACGCATTCATCGACTACTCTCTCCAATGTGAACCTTCTTGAGTCTCTTTCTCCCTCTCACGCCCATAGATTATTACAGGTTATTTGACAAACATATGTGCTTCTTCCAGGATATCAATGTACCCCTCCCACTGCAATTGAATGGCTACACAGAGTGTGCATCGAAGACATAATGATTAATGCAGCATAATGCTCAGTTTACATTGTACTGTAAATCAAGCATTAGAGTCTGTAATTAAAGCCACTGGATAGAGAAGCAATTCATTTTCAGACATCCAGTGTCTTGCACTTTAAGAACTGTAACTAAAGCAAGATAGTGCAACGTACAAAAGTTCGAAGCTCAAATAAAAATAGACACTATTGTACTTACTAACAACATTATTTTACAAGAGCTCACGTGACCAGGAAAAAAAACATAACTTTTTAAAAAACATTGTCTATGTGCATGATTATAGAGCTAAAGGTTGAGCATGTTCTACCATTCCATCGTTGCTTATGGCTAAAACCCTTAAATATCATAGACCTGACCAGCTCCGATCCATTTATCAACATCCAAATTTGAACTAGTTATTTGGAGATGGTGTAATCAATACTACCAGAGACTTGGGAGGGTCTGATTATCCAGATACACAGTAACGTAGCAGCGATGTTGGCCTCTGGCATATAAATGCTCAGCAGTACAATGTATTACAAATCCCTCACCAGCACTTATGAAAGAGATCTACACCTGCTTGATGCAAGTAGTTAGCAATCCTTTAGCTATGCTTTGTTTTGAATTGGTTGAGATATCAATCATACTGGAGATACATATATCTGGAAGAAACTCCAATGCCTCTCAGTTTAAATGTCCTCTTCTCTATTCCTGTTGTCCTCTGCATCTTGTAGAAAAGCTTCCTTCTCTGGAGGAATTGGATCACCATTCAGGACACCCGTCGCCTTAAAAGCACAGGCAGTTCTTTCGGGTAATGAACGGGAACCAACAGCCTCAGAACTGTTCCATATTCCATAAGCAAAATAAATAATGAACCCTGTAAGATAAACATAAACCTGGTGAGTAAACAGTTGCCATGGGCTGCAGATTTACAAATTATTCTTTCATTCTTTTTGATTGAAGTAAGCTATTTACCTGCCGATTTCCACTTCTCGATAAGAATGGCCCTACTGTATACAGATGTAAATTTGTATGGCATTATACTGTGTGAACCACAGCTGACCTCAGACTGCAGCCTCAGTTAGAACCATAGAAATTTACAGTACAGAGGAAGGAAGGAGGCAAGTTGGGCCATCTGGGTCATTCACCATGTCTGCACTGGCTCTTTAAAGAGCAATGTTTTCACTCACATTTACCTGCCCTTTTCCCATAGCCCTGTAGTTGACAATAAAACTGCAATGCAGCATTACTTCTGGAATCTTTCTATTTTGTGTATGTTAACATATAAAGGTTAGCTGGTAAACGTTTTATATGTAAACGTAACACTTGTCACAATGCTTTTAATACACAATCTTTATACTCAACAGACTTTAGATAGCCTTTATCTTCATCAGTTTATGATCTCTGCACTGTTTCTATCTCTCTGCACTGGAGTGTCAACCAACAGAATGATATCATATAACAATCTTAGCTGACATTCCAGTGCAAAGGGTGTGCTGTGATGGTGGAACTACTATCATTTGGATGAGACATAAGATATTAAATCACTCCTGATCACTATCCATTATACAAAAAAAAAGTCACTTAATCCACAACTGTTTGCTGTGCGCAATTGACTGCCGAGTTTCGCCCAAAATATACAATCAATTCAGTTTACAGTATACTCTGTAAAGCCCTTTGAGACATCTCCAAGACATGATAAGGAGCTGTATCAAATGCAAGGATTATTTATTATAAGGTCTAATTTCTCTGTATTCAGGTTAAAGATCCCCTGAAAACATACAAAAAGTGAGGGGAATGTCTCCCAGTGTTCCTGGCCAACATTCCTTTATATTCAATGATGGTTCACCTCACAGCTGTTTGTGGGACCTTGCTGAGAAATGGCTTTGTAGGTCCTAAATCCTTACCAACCGTCCATTGGTGGTTACTGGCCTGCTCCACACCACCCGCCCTGCCCTCTGCACCATTGGAAGCTGGGCTTTTACCTTTCTGCACCCACCCTCTGGAACTCCATCCCCGAAGCCCCTCCACCTTGACCCCTCCCTTCCCTCCTTCAAGGCCCTTCAAGACCTTCGGTCATCATCCCCCCGCACTCCCTTGCCTTGTCCTCCAGCCCTCTCGATTCCATCCCACAGCTCCGGTGCAATCCCTTGACTACCCAGGGCCGTGGGAAGTCCCTTATCGTTGTTAGCTTGCCTACAAATGTAGTAATTACATGTAAAGCTCTTTGAGATGTTCCAATGCGATAAAAGAATTCTAAATGCAAAAGTTCTTTCTTTCCTCCATTCTCTTGGGAATCGGTAATGTCGGCATATTTAAAACATAGCTTTGTCACATTCACACATTCTAGATATTTGTCTTTAACAAATGCTGTGAACTGTGTTTTTCACAAATGTTTATTTTTCAAAAGCTGAACTACCTCTAGTGATGATTAGAACCGAGAAGCAATAATATTTATACAACAGAAAGCCTTGAAAAGTAGCCAGTATTGTAATGCACAATAAGATACAAGATAAAAGGCTGCAAAGTTTTCCTTTGTTCAGCAGAATGTAATAATAATAATCCTTGCGTTTGATACAGTGCCTTATCAAGTCGTTGAGACCTCTCCAAACACTTACGGCCTATTGCACAGACCTTGTCCCCAAATCACAGGCAAAAGTAATACAATTGAAAACTTACCTATTACCATCCAGGCAGCAAAGCGGATCCATGTACCTCTATCCAACTGCAGCATGAGATACACATTGACCAACATACTTATGACGGGTAGATAGGGTAAGCAAGGCACCTGAAATCAGGACAATATATAAAAAAAAGCAGAAGTGTGAAGGCTGCTGTAAAAATAACCAATAAAGTTGTTGAAATAAAACAGCAATCACATCACTCACCTTAAATGACAGTTTGGTCTTGCTTTCTGGTTGTCTCCAGATTACACAAATAATAATCACACACGTGACAAACACCAGAATAAGTAAGATTATGCACCATGCTTGCGCCTCCAGCAAAGCATCTTTTCCATGAACCGCCAGCAAGCAGAAAACTAAGATTAAAAATCCTGAAGAAGAAAAGATCATTTTATCAGTGTTGCAATTTATTCCATTTGACTCGGAAGCGAAGTGGGGGAAGAGGGAGAGAAGTGAGCATAATTTGGTTCTCATTCAACCTCAAAACTTTCCAGCAGAGCCCAATAAATAGTAATCAGCTGTGAGAATTGCGTTAATTTGCACCTCCCTAAACTGGAGCAATTCTGCTCTGGCAAAGATAAAACAAACAACCCCAGACCAGAGATCTAAATTAAAGTGCATTAGACTGCTGTCACTGGAGACATTCACACTGTACTTACACTACCTGAGCTGAACACAATATCAAACCACTTTTGGGCTTCAAAGATAAATGCATTTAAAATGTAAATAATTTGTTGCTTTAAAAATAACAACACAAACTACAAACTTGTTTACATAGTGCCCGCTAGGATGGGGAATGCTGTGTAATTTAAAGATCTTATTTATATTCCAGTTTGCAGTAATTTGCAGATAGCTGTCAGGTGGCTTCTCTACCCATTTCTTGCAGTCTGTTAAAAATAACTGCATTAAAAGTTTCACTCACCAAAACCTTGCTTTGAATTTCAATCAAAAGAAACAAATACCAAACATGGCAGAACCCACTACACTGCTGATATGATGAAGAGTTAACTGGTGTGACAGAAACAAACTTCAGCACTCCCTCCAGGAAAAGAATCACCACGAAAACAAAGTAAGAAATCACGGTGGGCCGGTGATGGAAGAGTCAAACCCCCGGTAGAAGCTTGGATTTCTTGATTACCAAGCCTGGCCTTGGCTGAGTATTAATGGAGTTTGTAAACATTCAACTGCATAATACATCACGGAAGTAACAGCATTGAATGATATTTTTGTTCTGCTCCCCTTCTGAGCTGATGGGCAAAGAATAGACCTGGCATTGTCAGTCTGCTTCCTTTTAGTTATGAGCTAAATGCACAAACATCACCAAGCTGCGCACACTGAGCTCACACTTAAAAGGAACTGGATAGAATCCCACATCAGATTCTGCTCCGATTCCCCTGTCCCCCCGACAGCAGGGTTGATTCAATCAAATGACTTACCTAACAGACTCACGCACACGTTAACGACAGATCCTGACTGTTTGGAAGGGAGGCTGTTTTCTGGGAACAGCAAGGAGTTCAGAGAGAATTCATCGTTTCCACGTAGAACTTCAGTTTGGGACTCGCTGGTGCTGGCTGATTCGGTCATGTCCGCGTCATCAGACGTGTTGGCCATTTGATACGCAGCGTTACTCATCTGGTCAGGCTGGTACCTGATGTTTAAAAAAAAACTCACATTACTTTACACTCCCAAACGTTTACACAGAAAGCAAGTGAACTAAGTGGACAATTGTTTCATTGTCGTTAAAATATCCAACCAATTGAACACAAAGTGAAAAGCAAACGCAGTGTCACTCGATGTGCGAGAGGGGAAGCGCAGTGTCTCACCGTAACATGGAATAAAACAGATCAAAAATTTCCTAGAGCGCGATCCCTGAGATGTGCTTTCTAATCTCAACTGAGTTAGGTGTGTCGAGACTACAGAGTCTTGAATGGGTTTAAGTGACCCACCTGAAGCAAGAGAGACAAGTCAGGCTTCCCACACCTCATCACTATCTAATGAATTGGTCAGGCTTCACCTCGATGTCCCACACCCCACCAAGTCAGCGTCCACTGACACTGCCTCTCTAGGCTCACACATGAACAATTGACAATTGTAAGAGATACAAGAGGGTTTCTGATGCCTTTAGAAAGGGGGGAAAATTTGACAAAGGAAGTAAAATGGATCAGCAATGAGCTTCTGTGAGTTCTGGAAATGCATAGCAAGTGACAACCCTTACTTACCGCAGCACGAGGACACAAGCAGCCACCAGAGAGTAGGCAAGAAGGGTACCAATTGACATAAGGTCCACAAGATCTTTCAAGTCAAACAAGAACGCCATGATTGCTGTCGTAAAAAGAACAGAATTCTAAATCTCCCAGTCAAAAGTAAACAATTGGACACACAAGCGTTAAGAGTGAAGGAGAATTAGTACAGTCGTTTAGCACAATTCGGGCAAAAATGTTCCAATTGCAGACATTTGTTTTTTTCCAGCCGATGGTGGTGATAAGCTATACGATCAACGGTCTTTCAATTCAGCACGGCAGGCATGAAGTCACCTCTGGAGTTGTTGGTGGTTCCATTCACCTGGCTCTGAATGTTAGCCACCAAATGTCACTCCTGGCTACAGTTTAGAAATACCTTGCCAAGGGTATAGCTTCTCCCCCACCAACTCTACCTCCCCCCACACCGAGCAGTAATTTTAACAAAACCCACAGAAATCAAACCATCACCAGAAAATCATACCTGAATAGTTGTATTTCCAATTATGATGGGCATAACTGAAGCAGAATTCAGCAGTGATCGATCTCCCTGATGGGAATTACCAGTGAGAGCTACACAGGTCGCGTATGAGTCAATGAGTTGAGAAGTGCAACATTTGAATGGAATCACTTCCAGGTGGGTATCGCGTAGGCTGTGCCTTTTGGCAAAGTGATGGCTGGATGATTTGACCATCAGCCAATTGGGAATATATGAACAAGTTACTCTTAAAAGGATCCGACCAACGATCATAATAACCAACTGATCAGCATATTCTATGCCAAACCCTCGCATTGATCGATGAAATGGTTTCCGTTCAACAAAACCTCTCCCTGGTCATCAGTACACTCACCCTATTGATACCCAGGGCAGCATGGTCCAACTGGTGGCCCGCCGGTCAATTTCATCTGCCGCCCCCCACCCCACTCCCTCCATAACCCATAAATGTTGTTATGTTATGTTTCTGGAATAGAATCACAAAAATATTGCTTAACCAGCCTGCGGACATTTCTCAAATAGGGCATTTGGCCCTCAGCAGTCAGAAGGTTGGCCCACTCTTCCCCATAGTATAATACCCACCCAGGGTATATATCAAATATAGGTTTTTTCAAGTTAGAAAAAAATTAGAAAATACACTAGGCAAAAATATTCTGTTAATGTAATCGACCTTGCTCACCCAGGTTTTTTTTTTAAAAAAAGTTGGCTACCAGAACTCTCCTATAGAATCATAAAACTTCATCTTTAAGACTTCCTCTTCGTCAAGAGACTAATTCCCTTTTGAAAGAATCTATAGACTCGGCTTCGGGTGCGGTTTGTGGAAGATCTTTCAAACTTGGAATTCACTTGGTTGTGATGTGCCTCATTACTAATGCGGTAGCTGGTGAAAGAGTGACACTGACATGCCTTGCGTGCCAGTCCAATCCCCAGCCACTTCTGTGATCCCTGCTAAATGAGGCTGATTGATAAAAAGCACCTCCTGTCGGAAAATGTGAGTGGAATAACGGGAATAAAATAAAAAATTATTAAAAAAAAATCTTGTTGTGAAATGCCTGCTTGCTTGATACTCACACGGTTAGGCAAGAGTTGTGATGCACTGAGATTATTCACTCAAGTAGCAGGTATTACAGAGCAGCCCACAGCACTCAGCTTGTATTACAGCTTACCAGAAAGAACCCCGGCTGCTAAAGTTGACAATATTGGGGCTTTTCTTTCACTCACTGCGGCCAGAAATCTGAACAGCAGCCCATCACGTGCCATTGCAAATAGGATTCTTGGCAATGGAAACATTGAACCTAGTAGGCTACAAGGAAGAAATCAAATGCATCATTCAATGATCTATGGTTATACGAGAAAAGTAAGCGTATGGATACCAACAGTGTGCACTGACTTTCACGTAAGATAGTGAAATTTATTTAATCCTGATAGCAATTCTCATTAAGTGTTCTCATCGGGATTACACTTACTCTTCAGTGGGTAGATTGCCAAACGGAAAGCCAATTACCTCTTTGTGACATGAGAAGATTAGAGAAAATCAAGGCCAAATTTTCATTCATTGCTCCTTTCCACTCAGCAGCAACCTGCTCAAGAGCCACAGTAACAGAGGCCTTATAGCAGTTCACTTTCTTGAGGATTCGACTGCAACTGGTGCACGTCTCAGAGACACCATAACAAACAACGGCAGCTTGCATTCATATAGCGCCCTTCACACAAGGTGGTGTCTCGGAGTGCTTAACAGTGACGGAGCCCTCCTGCTCCCCACAAGAGCAGAACAAGAGGACAAAATTGGTGGGCAACACGCCTGGAAAATATAAAATATAACATTTTGAAAAATGGCTATCTCTACAACCAAATGTGTTTGGACAGCTAACAGAGCAAGTTTGTTGGCCAATTAAAAAAAGGAGTACCTTGAACTGTAAGGACTATTCAGTCATCAAAAGCTGATACACATATAATAAAATCAATATTGTAAATAGAATTTATTCTGATAGACAAATTCCAAAAACTTTGTTTTTCAACTCCAAAGTTACAACATAAATGCACACTTGGCACGATACGTTTACCTTCCCCGTTTTTTTTTAGAAAGTCATAGTCCCTTACCTGCCACGACCCCCGAGACTATTGTAGCGATTAGTGGCGTTTTAGTCCTTTCGTTGATTCTGGCCAATGCTCTAAACAGCAGCCCGTCCTCTGCCATAGCATAAATTACTCTCGGCATTGGAAATATGGAACCAAGAAGACTAATAGGAAAAGACATTCCATTCTGGGTTAGTGCTGTACAAACAGGCACAGTTAATTGCAAACATACAACAATGAAACGGCCACTTCACTTAACACAGACAACAAATGTTTTTTTTTAAAAAAGCAACATCTTGGTTAGAACTCAGGGGACTGAGTTTTGAAGAATTTGTAGTGCCACAATCTGCAAACAGTTACAATTTAGCCCTGAATCAACCTTTATGTTTAGTGTCAATTACCAACATATAAATAAAGACTGCTAACACAAGCAGGTTATGAAACTGGGTGCAAGGAGATTGGGATATTGGGAATACTTTATCTACTGCCCACCCTCCAAATCAAACTCCTACCTGCAAAGCAGTCATAAGCTTTGGACAAGTTTATTATTTTTATATGATGATTTCCCCTACAGCAGTTGGGAAGAGAAACTAAATGCTTACTTATAAAGCATAACTTTTGAACGGTCAACAGAAATGACTTCTACCTTGCCAACGTTTTTGTGGCACTCTTACCCCTGCACACAGAATGTGATAACCATGTGAATCCCACCCACGAGGACAAACCCAGAACCACCATTTAATTTACACGCAGCAGACCTTTGAGCAGGTATTGAGCACAATAATAATAATCCTGGCATTTGATAGGCCCTTATCACGTCGTTGAGACGTCTCAAAGCCCTTCACAGAATACACTGGAAAGTGAATTGACTATTTTGTGGCCGAATTAAAAATTGCAATTGCGGGAATCGAAACCGGATGCTCTCGCTTGCGAGACGAGTGCTCTAACTAATAATCTACACTGCGCCAAGTGTACTAAAAACAGCACAGTCCTGACTCACAAAAACTGCATTGCAAGTGGGAACTGTACTAGTGATTATCAAGCTAACTTTGCAAATCAGGTGCCAAATTTGTATGAGTGTTCACTAAAGTATCGACCAGGTCTGATAGCCTGCAACCACTTACCCCAATAAACTCTGTCTCTCAGACTAAAAGATACAATCCAATATTAGTGATTTGATTAGCCCAAGAATTTTTTTTGCTCAATTACACATTGTTGAATTCAATGTTCAGCAATGTTGCTCAACTGTTTGATAGAAAGCGCACAGCACTGCAGTTAGTTCTAACAATGTTACTGTGAAATTTAGGACTAAAAACATCTTGCTACTTTGTGACAATATTCGCTTACAACTGAATTGCCTCATTATAAATGCCTATGAAATTCATTGCACTTAGCAGCAGGAAGCCTTTCCACTCCTGCTTCTCCCCTCCATGAACTCGAGGAAGCTAGGTCTGTTGATGCACAGATCATGCAGGGATGTGAATTAAATTCCAACCAGGAAACTAAAGGGCTTGATCTAATTGCTATTGCAGAACACTGTAATTCAATGAACTAATCCATCATTGATACAGAAAACAATCTCTTCCAAGTCTAATAAACCTATAAAGTCCTGGCAGGTATATACCACTAGAAGTGGTGCTAGAGTGCGCCTGAAGATAATTTAGAAACGCATCTGATCTCCAGCAGCCATTTAGCTTATGATAATTGTCCCATTTCCACTTTCTAAACAGTCATATTATCGTACAATCACACCAATGAAACAAGAAGAATACGGCTAATACGCAAGAGGAGGTATAGTGTTTAGAAGCAGTCGGTTCAGTCTGATGAACTTCTAGTGCAGTCGACCTAACTTGCAAATGACGACTGCAAACCCTCTGGCAAAGTAAAGTGTAAAAACTCTATAACCTTATGCTGGCTTCTAATTGCAAATTTTAAAACAAACAGCAAAGGAGGTTCTTGATTTGTATCAGAGGCAAACCTTAAACAGGAGATTTTGAATTTACACTCAGGTGAAGTTTCCAGCATTTTGCAGTAAGCCGGCTAGAAGAGAATTTAATAGCCAATTGTTCATAGGTTTAAATTTTCTCTAGAGTTTCAGCAAAATTCTCACATCATAAAATGCAAGGCAGTGGGGCAAGTTTCCTTTGATATTTTAGAAAGCAGCACTGCTGGAAGTCAAATACTTAAAAAAATAAATAAGTGAAATAAATCAATAAATCCACATGCAAGACAATTACTATATTCACAGGATCGCTAAAAGTCTTTCTAAGTACAATACATACTGTAAAGTACATCGATTACATTTTTGAAGCAACAGTCTTGATGCAGAATCAAAAATAAACACAAGGTTTTCTTAAATACAAGGTATACTGCAGACAGTGTTTTCTCAAGCTCCTTACAGCAGCGCGGCACTGTTAGTAGGTTAGCTGAGCACTTCTACAGGGTAGAAATATTTCTGCTGGGCTTGTTTATTTTGTAGCATGCAAGGACACACCGAACTAAAGATAAGGTAAGAGTCGCATAATACCTGGTGGAAAGAGCACACAATGAGCCAACTGCCACAGCGTATTTGGCCCCGTCCCATCCTACATATTTGAAAGCCACTGGCAAGGGACTGTTCTTGTCCAGTAAATAGTAGGGCATCATTAACGTGAGGGCAGCCGACACTCCAAAATAGGCAACGAAGCAGATCAGCAGCGAAGCAACAATCCCAAAGGGAATAGCTCTCTGGGGATTCTTTACCTCCTCTCCTGCAAGATATAAAACAGAAGCCTAGAGAATGCTGCAGATGATCTCAAGGTAATGTTACAACAACAACAACAAAATTACATTTGTATAGGAGGACGGGAGGACGTCCCAAGGTGCTGGATAGACAGAGTTTTGGACCCGAGCTGGGGCGTCAGGGAGGGTGGAGGGCAGGGGGGGGAAGCAGGGAGATCGAAAGCACGGTCGAAGAGGAGGGTCTTGAGATGGGTCTTGATGGTGGCAAGGGATCGGGCGAGGCGGAGGGACTGCAGGATGGAGTTCCAGAGGGTGGGGGCAGAGTTGCAGAAGACCCACTAGCCAATAGTACCACCTACTTTTGATGTGATTTTTTACAACGTAAGCTCCATATACAGTAAAACTCACGTAAGTCTGATCTGTATAAATCGTATAATCGTCTAAGTTCCGTTCAAGAGTTTAAATTCTATGCAAATTTGACATAACTCATACTTTGTGTAAGTCATATTAAACGTATGATCCCAACTGATGTGACTTATATTACTGTATAAATAAAAGCCATCCAAATCGAAAACCGCAGTGGCATTGACTTTTTGTTCTCCAGGCTGGTAGCATCAACAGGTTATTAGAGTGGGGGTTGGGGAGATAGAGAAAGACAGAGAAAGGCAGAGAATAGATTTATTTTCTAAAAAGAGCAACTTATCTTCATACTGTCCCATCAGAAAATTTGCCTGTATGAGCTTCAAGGCAAAGAGCCCATGGCTGATTTTACGGACTCCCTAACAAGAGGATACTGAGGTCAACTGTGGGGCCGATTGCTGTCCTGGCTCAGACCTATACACATCAAATTAAGGACCTTCCTGTATAACTCAATAATACAGCATGCACCGAGCCCCCCCCCCCACCCCCCTAATAAACGTTGAACAAACAAGCACGCAGGCTTCCTCTAACCTCCAACTTGCATAAAGCACAAGACCGAAATGTCACGTAGTTTTTGGTAAGCCAGACCATCTCAAAATGTAAAATCACAAAGAATTGAGGAAAGTTCTGAAATTCAATCTTGATTTATTAAGACAAGTCTTTTTAAAGCTGCTGAACTCAATCTTTCCAATTTTAAACTAAATTGAAAGATGTTTACCACAGTTCTGGTCAATTTTAATTTTGAAAAACAATTGTATTGCATGCTAAGAGTAATAATAATAATAATAATAATCCTTGCATTTGATATAGCGCTTTTCACGTCAGGAGGACGTCCCAAAGCGCTTCACAGAACACACTGTAAAGTGAATTGACTGTATATTTGTGGGCGAACGCGGCAGCCAATTGCGCACAGCAATGTCCCACAAACAGTCGTAGATTGAAAATGACCAATTTAATTATTGTTTTTGGTTTTTTGGAGGGATTATTATTAGGCGTGTGGAGTAAGGAAACTTGCCCAAGGTTTCGCCCTGTGCCTGGAATTGAACTCAGGTCTCTCACTTGCAAAGCGAGTGCTCTAACCACTGAGCTACAGGACTCCTCGTAGGTGGAATTTCAGGCCACCGACTCTTAGCAAAAAAAAGTTCTTTTTGAAGGGGCAGCAGCAAAGAGATCAAGTTGATGATTATCAGATCTAAGAGCCACAACTCTAGAGACCTGGCAATAATTCACAAGTAGCTCACAATTTGTGGAGTTTCACAACTTAATCAACACAATAATTATCGTATAGTAATGGAGTACTATAAAATGAATATGAAGAACATAAAAAGTGCAAGAATGAAAGGAAGTCTGTCGTTAGGATTGATTGAAGTTTCGCAATCTTGGGTTATGCAAATTTGCCCAAATGTCTAAAATTCAAATAGGTGCAATGTGCGTTTATAGGTATACGTTGTGATCAAATAGTTTTCCATAGTATACAACACAGGCAAGCATTTTACTCACCTGTGGTGGCAATACAGTCAAATCCTACAAAGGCATAGAAGCATGTAGCTGCGCCTGAAAGAACTCCACTAAAACCATATGGCATGAAACCTCCAGCTCCGTAATTCCAAGTGCTTTCTGGCTTGGTACAGCTCGTACAGCTAAACAACAGAAAGGAAACATTCATTGCAGAATAATCATTTCCTTGAATGAGTAGCCCAGAAGCTCAAACAGTTATTACAATCGTATTGCTGAACATATTAAAGTTCTGCTAACAGATTAATACAAATAATAAACCTCACATTTGACATAGCAGCAGTGATGTCAAAGAAGTCTCAAAGTTTGTCTATCAAATGTAGTGACTGCATTTGCAGGCAAACATGGCAGCCAATTTGTGCACGGCAATGCCCCACAAACGGCCATGAAGTGAACGACTTCATGGCCGTTTGTGGGGCATTGCTATTATTTGGGGGACTGTTGCCCAGGACACTGGGAGAAATTTCCTTTTTTTTTTGAATAGTGCAATGGGAAGTTTAACATCCACCTGAGGAGCCAGGTGGGTCCTCGGTTAAACATCTCAGCCACAGGACAGCACCTCTGACAACACATCACTCCCCCAGCTTTTCTTTGGATGAGCTCAAGGTGGTGATATGGGACTTGAATCTGCAACCTTCCCATCCAGAAGCAAGTGTTACCAACTGAGCCAGACTGACACCACAGAACGCATCATTGTTTCACTGATTTAAATGATTTAAAATACTTGGCTTTGATCAGTTCTAAGAAACATCTAAATATTTGAAGGAGGATGCAAGGAATATGCTCTTAAAAACAGACATCTTTCAAAAAACGTTGTAAGATTGTTACATTCAAAAATACACTGTGGCTTTGAGGTTCCTTTCACTGCTTCTGAATCCACAGAATGCAACATATAACCATGCTGAGTGAGACTCCATGTTACAGAAAACCCAGCTACTTTGTCCAAATATATTTCCATGCCAGAGTAATTCAGCCAAACGACAACATTCAGAAGCATTTAACTCGCAAAAATATTTTTCTGCCATTGGTTCAGAAACACATCCCCACAATTGTATATTATTACCAAATAATACATTGATATACTGCAATAAATATCAATAATTTGTATGGTTCACAATACTGTACTCACTTCTCAGAAGCAGTGGAGTTTGTCTCATTAACCATATCTGCCTCACTTAGCTGCCAGTTTTTGAGTGATCCTTTCACAAAGCCGGAGACCATGACAAAACACAACACCAGGATATTGATGCAAGTGAAGACTTTATTCACTAGTGCGGACTCCTTCACTCCGAAAGATAATAACCCTTGGCGGATAACAAAAAGAGGTTTATCAGACACAAATTTCCCATGTTGATCTATAGAAACCCTCCCACAAAGCTAACACAGGCTTTATTTAGTACTATTCAGATCTTATATCCAATTAAAAACGATATGATGTGTAGGCACAGAGTAATAATTCTTGCATTTCGTATAATGCCTTATTACGTCATTGAGACATTTTAAATCGCTTCACAGAATGTACTGTTAAGTGAATTGAGTATTTTGTGGGGGAAACGTGGCAGCCAATTGCCCACAGCAATGTCTCACAAACAGCCACTGAATGAGTGAGCAATTTTATTTGGGGAATTGGTGGCCAGGACACCGGGAGAGAAACTCCCTTCTCTTTTTAAATAGTGCCATGGGAACTTTAACGTTCACCTGACCAGGCAGACGGGACCTCAGTTTAACAACAGAAAAATTACATTTGTAAAGTGCCTTTCACGTCGGGTGGACATCCCAAGGCGTTGAACAGTCAGTGATCAGGACCTGAGCGTGGGGGGCAAGGTTGGGATGAGGGAGGGCAGAGGGAATCGGAGGGCGGCTAATGACACAGTTGAAATGGAGGGTCTTGAATGGTGCCTTGAAGGAGGCGAGAGAGGGAGCAAGGCGAAGGGTTGTGGGATGGAGTTCCAAGGAATGGGGGCAGAGAGGCTGAAAGCCAGGCCACCGATGGTAGGGCGGGTCGGGGGGGGAAACATGGAGCAGGCTGGAGTCTGCTGAGTGGAGCGAGTGGACAGGTTAATAGAGGGTCAGCAGGTCAGAGATGTAGGAGGGGGCAAGGCCGTGGAGGGCCTTGAAAGTGAGGATGAGGATTTTGAATTCTATCCTCTGAGGGAAGGGGAACCAGTGGAGTCGGGCGAGGCTGGGGGTGATGGGGTCACGGAGCCTGGTGTGGGAGAGGACATGAGCTGCAGAGTTCTGGATGATCTGTAGCTTGTGGAGGGAAGAGTTGGGGAGGCCGAAAAGGAGGGAGTTTCCGTAGTCGAGCCTTGAGGTGACAAATGCATGTATGAGGGTTTTGACGGTCTGAGGGGTGAGGCAGTGGCGGAGTCTGGCAATGTTACGGAGGTGGGGGAAGGCAGAGCGGGTCGTGGCACGGATATGGGAGAGAAAGGACAGTTGAGGGTCGAACAAGACGCCCGGGTTCCTGACTGGCTTGGTGAGGTGGGGTGTGCATCTGTGGATACTGATGCTGCCGGTGCCTGAGGTGCGGACCCGAGTCAATCAGGAGGGCCTCAGTCTTGCTGACATTCAGCTGTAGAAAGTTAACATTTCATCCGAAGAACGGACAGAAGCAAGATATACACCTGCACAAAGCTACATGCAAATCATATGATGCCATTGCACACAGGTTCTCCATCCCACATCCTGCAGGTCAGTGTTACTTTTTTTTAATATTACATCTTAAGGCATCTCCATCAAATTACCCCAGTAACCTCTGCAACATATGTCCACAATTATCTGCCAACCATTCACATCATGGAGACCACAAAATATTGAATACAAAAGTGTTCAAAGTCCACACCTTTTGCGCTTTGGGACGTCTTCCCGACATTAACAGTGCATTACAAATGTAATTTGTTGTTTTGCAATGTGAATTCACAACCCTAATCTGCTAAATGAACCAAGTAGATTTTTTTAAATAATTGAAACTTTAAACAAATTGAATACCTGTCAGCAGCAAGATTATAAACACAGCAAAAATATCTGGGTATTCTGCCAGCACTCCAGAAGAATTCATTGCCATATATTTCCTGCAGAACACCTCTATATGTTTACCAACGAGTTCATCAAATGTGGCGCTCCAGGCTCGGGCAACACTTGAAGTTCCTGTATTGAGGTGTAAAAAAAAAGACACATGACAACAACAGCAACAACTTGCATTTATATAGCATCTTTCACGCAGGGTAGCAAATAAGGTTTGGAGAGCAGATGCCAAAGGAAACGTGCATAGTGGCTGAATGCTCGGCTATCGTTGGTGCGACACATGTCACATCTGCCAACCATTCACATTGGTGGATCACTTTCTGAGGATAATAATCCCTTCAAAAAATAATAAATTATCACTCAATCTACCACTGTTTGTAGGACAGTGGCTACATTGGCTGCCGCATTTCTCCCACAAAATACAGTCAATGCAATTGACAGTATATTCTTTGAAGTGCTTTGAGATGTTTCAACGATGTGATAAGGCGCTGCTATATCAAATACAAGTATTATTATTATTAGTAGATTGTGAAGTGGTTGAACGAGCAGCTAGTGAGGTAAATTGCGAGGGAACCAGAGGCAATGTGTGAACCATATAAGACGGCTTCAGTTTCATTAACACTTACTTATCTCATTAAAATTAAATGAAAGGAGTGAGCATTAACTGGTGAGGACATTAAACATGGAGAGACTTGTATATTACTACATTGTATCTTACAGGCTTGGGAGTTAGAAGTCACAAAGTGAGAGTTTTACAGAATACAATATCCTGTACCACAAACAAGCTGACCACTAAAATACCCTTGTATCATTCGTTACCTATTCACATGAACTGTCTGAAAGTATTTTGATAGGGAAATTGTGTTAGGTAAAGTACCAACAGTACAAGTGACATCAGAACGTAAATATGGTGCTGTACTTCAGCAATACAGACAACAAAAGGACTGGGCATAACATGGTCGTCCTGTCCAACATCTCAAGCAAAGTTGAATAATGAAGCATTAAAAAATACCTGACTTCCTAGCTGTCAAGTCACTGTCACAGAGCAGGCTCCAAGATATGTAGGAAGCAAGATTAGATGCACTTCTTGCACATACCAGAGGGTATAAGAAGTGGTGCTAACAGTGCGGTTTACCTAGAAGTATTGATGTTTTTTTTAAAAAAGTACACAGAAAAACAACTATAGGTCCACAAGGGCACCCGCCTTGTAACAGGACTGCCCTGTGGCTGTAAAGAGGCACAAACTACACTTCAAACATATAAAATCAATTATTTTTTTGTTATTATGTTTAACTGAATGGACATGTTGAAGATTTGATGCCCACCGATCAAACTATTACATTACAAAGAATAAAAGACATCAAAAGAATTTGATCTTTCAGAATAAAAATAAGTAAAGAAAAAAAGGCTTCAAATATAATTTAAATTTGCAGGTGAAAAATTGGAACACCGTTTTATTGCACCAAATTAAATGAGCCTTAATAAAATTGCACTTATTCTTTAAAATGTATAAAAGATATTATCTAGTTTTAACAGACACTGATCGTTCAATCAGATAAATAGCAACAGGATATTGAGGTAGAGTAAAGATAACAGCAAATTAGATAAAGTAGATCTTCAGTCAGGGTTAAGATTAAAGCCAAGAGTAACTGACTCTTACTATTATTAATAAATAATAAATAATCCTTGCATTTGGTATAGCGCCTTTCACAACAGGAGGACATCTCAAAGTGCTTCACAAGATCCACTGTAAAATGTAGTGACTGTATTTTTATGCAAACACAGTACCCCATTTGCACACAGCAATATCTCACCAATAGCCATGAAGTGAATGACCAATGTTATTTGGGGGGATTGTTGACCAGGGCACTGGGAGAAACTCCCTTAAGGTTCAGAATAACTGCAATCTTACACTCCTCCAACTTGGGTTGTTAAACGTGCGGATTAACTGGGTCTTTTGAAGAACATGTATGTAAACAAAGATGTGTAAAGATTAGCTGATCTCAAAGAGTTTGGGCTGAACCAATTCTATCTCAGCCACACACTTCCCCTTCAAGAAACAGGATGCCAAAAAGATCAAAACATTTTTCAAGTATCGTATTCAACTTTTATTAAAAAAAGGTTTAACCACTGATGATTAAAAAACGTATTCCAAAAGTCTGAAGACTGGATTTGAAACATGACTTGCTTGTGTCACACTTTTTTGCTACTATTTTTAAATTACAGAGTAGCTTCTTATCACAATGTCGATTTCCCATGACAGATCTTCTCCCAGCTAACATTCCAGTGTACTAGAATGAGAGAAATCCCTATAGCTCTTAAACAATTTAGTTTGAATTAGTGGTGCAGCCATGCAAACATCTTCTATCAATCTTATAATGTGGAGTCCTGTAGCATATTGGTTACAGCATTCGCCTCGCAAGCGAGAGCACCCGAGTTCAATTCCTGGGCAGGGCGAAACCTCAAGCAAGTTTCCTTATTCCACACGCCTCTGTTTACCAAGCAGTAAGTAGAAACCCGGTTGTTAGTCGATTTCTGGGGTTAATAATCCCTTCAATATAAATAAATAAAATAAGAATAAGAATTTGCTAAAGTCATGACTGTTTGTGGGACTCTGCTATGCGCAATTGGCTGCCGCGCTTCACCCGTAAAATGTACAGTCAATTTACAATATGTTCTGTGAAGCGCTTTGAGATGTCTCAACGACGTGATAAGCCGCTATATCAAATGCAAGGATTATTATTATTACATTATAAACATTTATAATTCTTTGCAGCACTGTACTTACCAATTACATAGGAAAGAATTAGATTCCAGCCAGTGATGAAAGCCCACAATTCCCCCACAGTAACGTAACTGTAGAGATAAGCAGAACCTGTCCGGGGGACCCGAGCACCAAACTCCGCATAACAGAGGCCAGCAAGTACTGAGGCCAGCGCAGCAATGAGGAACGAAAGGACAATGGCGGGGCCAGAATCCTCCCGGGCCACTGCTCCAGCCAGAACATAGACACCTGCACCCAGGGTACTGCCTACACCAAGAGCAACCAAATCCAGTGTATTTAAGCATCTCGCCAGTCTGGTTTCTTCATTCGAAGAGTCCACGTACTTGCGGCGAATCAGCTGCCGTCCAAAATTAACGAGTGGTTTACAATCCATCTTTCAAGACAGGATTCTCCGAGTGACACCAACCTGAAATAAAAACAAATAGATTAACAAGTTACAAAATGCTGATACTTGAGGAGGGGGCAAAACAAAAAAAATTTGGGATGACAAAAGGCAAACATTGAACATTTCTTAAGAGATGGGTTTTAATACAATTTGCAATCTATCATCTTCATTTAGAGACAATAAGTTGGTTAAAGACTTGCCAGGCTCTTCTACCAAAGCAACATGGTAAGTGTTTCTGTTCTACAAATAATAAGGCTGAGTTCATTATAAATGTTGTGGCTGATTTTATCAAGGAGTAAGATAGTGCATGCATAGTGCTGGTCAAAAAAAACATCGAGTTGTTTAGTGTCTACAAAACCACATTGTATCACAGAATTTGCTTTGCTACAATATTTCGCTACTGACTCATAAATTCTATAAACACCTCTTGGCTGATCATTTCTAATTCAAACGCAATTCTACACTAAGTTTCTACACAGTATTTAGAATCCATTCTAAAGGCTAAGATGGACTATCATTAGTAATATAAACACATATATACTGCATATTGTTGACTGTATACCACCCAAACCAATTGTACTGTCCCTCCCAAGTGCTCTGGGACACGCGCTGTTCAGGAGCACTATTTAAGTGCAAGCTGTTGTTGTTACCAGATCAGATCAGCTAACTCAAAGCAGATCAAGACTGGAACCTGCGAATGAAAATACTATTGAAGAACAAATGTTATCAATGTATGATGAGAAAGGCATAATCTTTAAATAAAATTTTAAATATTGAAAGTTTGGGTTTAACTGCTTTCAGACATAGTTTATGATAAAAATAAGTAGGTTTTATCTGCATAGCCTTGATGTATACTGTGAGAAATCTACACCCACCAGTCTACGTGACGTACTTTCTGCATTCATAGTGGATAAGAGTGAAAGCAACAAACAGCTGAGAGCAGATGTTCCTCGCACACATCCCCCATCGTACGCTTGTAACAAACACTCTTTCCCAGCAGGAAACATTAAGTAGATCAGGGCAGTCCAACTGGCGGTCCGCAGGCTGAGTTCATCCACCCCCTCCCCCATTTCATCTTGCCCATCCGCTCCCTCCATAAACCATAAATGTTATGTTATGTTCCTCGAAGGGAAACATAGAAATATTGCTTATGCAGCCCGCAGATATTTCCCAAATAGGCCACCTGGCCCTCAACAGCCAAAAGGTTGGACCACCTCGATGTAGATGGTAACTGGACCATTAGTAAACCCCATAGACAGGTACTTCCTCCTGGAAAATCCTCTGAGATTGTAAATCAGTTTGAGAGTTTTTTTTTAAGAAAGAAATCGAAAATCTGCAAAACCCTCCGTCTGAAGGCGTCAGTTCAGTGGGAACAGGGGACATTCTTCATCACCCCTACTCCATCAGTCTAGCAATGTGATCATCCCAGTCACAATCACAGCTTTGTGAACTTTAAATCACCCAATACTGCTTATTAGAAAGTGGTACACCACTGTGTTTAATAGAATGCTTAGACAGTATTTGCAGGCAGTCCGCTCCATCAGTAAAATGAGCAACTTTAACTGCTATATCACTTTTGTGTTACTGCCACATGAAGCGACACTCCACATTCTCATAAAGAGATCCACGACAATACACCTAACCTAGTTGATTCTGGGTCTGTTCCCCCACAATTAGTTCCTCATTCACTCTGAAATGTGTAGAGCAACCCTGAACACATTTAGAAATACAATTTGTTTCATGAATCAGCTTCAACTTCAAACCCTTCCTTGAAGCAGATTCCCATTCAGAATTAACTTCTCCCCCTGACCACCCCACTGACCTAAAATAGTGGGTGGTTTCCCAAGTCTCTCTATAATCTTAAAACTATTACCTCTCCACAAATAATGACTGTTTGTGGGAAACCGCTATGTGCAATTGGCTGCTGCGTTTTGCCCATAAAACACAGTTTTGCAATACATTCTATGAAGCTTTTTGAGTCATCTCAAAGACATGATAAGACACTGTGCTATATCAAATGCAAGGATTAATATTATTATAAGACGTTTTCCTCCACTCCTGCCTTCCCGTGTGATTTCCTCAGTATCATCCACATCTCAGAAGTTGCCATCCCATTCCGCTTTCCAATTCTTTTACTCAACTGCTTGAGCCTCTGCCCACTGAATTCCATGGAGATGACATTCTGCAGCTTTGCCTTTCTGGCACTGAAAAAACCCTTTGCTTCTCAGAAAAAGAACACTTGGCATTTAAGACTCTGATTATTTTCATTATTTGGCCTATTTTGAGTCTTCCAGGCCCACTCACACCACCCCTGGCTGAAAACATGACCCATTCCCATGGCTGAACTATTGTGTCCAGGAACTCAGTGTAACGATTTGAGATGTCAAAATATTTCTATTTTAACTTTGTTCATTCCTGACGACAAGCCAAGAATCCCATGTTTAACCCGAGTTCTTTGTAATCAAAGCATCTGGTCACAATCCCACCCCCCCCCCCCCCCCAGCCCCAAAATCAACATGAAAACTAGCAAAATGTATTCTCTCAAATAAAAAGGGAATGGAGTTATGGCAATAAAATACATTAACACTTTGCATATCCAGCATTAAGCTTAACATGACACATACAGCACACACTAATTACAAATCAAGTTCAGTGAATTTGCTCACGTGTGCTTATAATAATGTGGGAGAGGGGAGTGAAGGAGGGGGTGGAAAGCACACACTTAAGTTAAAATTTATGGTTGAAAACTAATCTCAGGTAAGAGTCACGATACACCAACATGACAGTTCCACTTCCAACATCTCTTTCAGTGATCTGGACAAATGGTGTCTAATCAGGGTCATTGTATCATCTGTAGACCCACATACACTGTGAATCTGTTCACCCATACCCAAACACAATAACTTGTATTTATAGCGCCTTCATGCGGGTTAGCATCCCGGAGCACATCAAACAACATATCACACAACCACAATAGCCGCTAAAATATTTTCCACGTTATTGGTTTGGGCCATGTTGGAACTCAACACCCCAGAATTGAAAGGACAGAACAACTCAATTTTCAATTACTATCCACTCCGCCCACAAAATAGTCAATTTACAGTATATATTGTGAAGCGCTTTGAGACTCTCAATGACTTGATCAAATCCAAGGATTATTAATATTATTATATTCCAATTGCACCATACCAATCCCAATAGTAGAGGGTTGGGTTGAATTATGAAAGAAGTTAATAAATTCATTCACAAGCAAAAATGATCTCATCAAGAAGATAATTTAAACCAAATTTACAACAGGAAAATAAGAGGAACTTAACATAAAAATTTAACAATTCTGGTCACGGAGTGGTTTGGCGACAATCACAGATACAAGCTCTGACCTCCATTTATCTTGGCTTATGTAACTGAAATACATTTTTACTCACAGAAAAATAAATGCCAACTTGTGCTTAAATGTCAACTGTGAACTACTGAATGCCCAGCAACTTTCTGGAGGTGTTTTCACTGGAAATATGAGATAGAGGGCCAGAGAAAAGAACAAGATTTAGCTGGTTCTATCAGTTCCGCAAACATTGGAATTTGTTCTCTGCAAACAAGAGGGCTGAGAAAACGAGATCTGGATCTAAACTATGTCCTGCAACAATGTGACATTGGGCAGAATGGAAAGCTCCCGTCATGCAATTTGTGGACATTTTACTGAAGGACAAGAACAAAGTCATTGCACAAATGGACGGGTACACACATTTTAAAAGAGCCACTGAAAATGTGCCCGGAAAGTGAGATTTGAAGTTTAGTCATGTTCCACTGCAAAATCCTATTAACTATTAAAAGGTACAATGATTTAACTTTTAAAAAAAACTATCTTCTCCTAGCGACGATTTTTGTTGCGAGTGACACAAAGACAAGTAAACACGCTTCTGTAAAGTGTAAGGTTAGTCAGATAAATAGAAAGAGTCATAGAGATAACGTTATAGAAAGATAGAAAACCAGAGGCAAAGAAAGAGAGAGAGAAAGAGATAAATAAATGAGAAAGCAAGTTAAGGATCAGAGAGAAGGCTGCACCATGTGCTACCACAGAACATAGAAATCCTGTCAACTCTTGACACAACTTTTTTTTTATTTGCACTATTGTCAAATTGCATTTTGTATGATAATCAATTATGTGTTTGCTTATCCAGTGCCAGTTAATGCAGAAAATAGCACTCTACTGTACTTCTGAGGCTATCACAAAGATCCCATGGCACAGCTTGAAAAAGAGAAGGGAATTTCTTCCGGTGTCCTGGTCAACAATCCCCCAGATTTCAAACAAATTGGTCATTTACTTCACAGTTGTTTGTGGGATATTGCTGGGGGCAAATTGGCTGGTGTATTCACCTACAAAATACAGTCACCGGAACGTGAAAAGCTCTATATCAAATGTAGGATTTGTTATTTTATTTAAATATGTGTTAAGTCACTATAAAATCTAGTAAACTCGGACCACAATTATAAAAGACAAGAAAAGGAAAAAGCATAAGACATCAATGAAATAAGTTAAAAGTGAATTCAGAGTACAACAACAACTTGCATTTATGTAGCACCGGAGCAAAACGGAGCAACATCTCGGAGCACTTAAAATGGCAGAGCACGACACCAAGCCAAGGAGAGGGAGGGAGGAAGTGACCATAAGCATGGTCAAAGAGGAAAGTCTTCAGTCATGATCTAAAAGAAGGGAAGGAGGGGGAAAGGCGGTGGGATTGAGCAAGAGATCTAAAGCTTCGGGGCACCGTAGCTGAAAGTGTGGCCGCCAATGGTGGAGGGGAAGGGACAAGGGAGTAGATACAATGACAGGAAATTATAGCACAAAAACAGACTACATGAGCTCATAGTTAGACTGACGCTCCAATGAGATGCAAGCGGATGCTGTATTATTCAAGCTGCTGTCCTTTAGAGGAGACGATAAAATGCAGCTCTGTCCACCTGGTCAGTTAGCTGGTAAAGATTCTTTGGCACTAATCAAAAAGAGAAGGGCATTTTAACAATCTCCCAGATTTGGGGCTATTTGTGGGACATTGCTGTGTGCAAATTGGCTGCTATATTCAGCTACAAATACACAGGTACTACTACACTTAACAGAAAACACGATGAAATATTGACTTGATAAACCACTATACCAAACGCAAGGATTATTTTACATGGAATAAAGTATCCAGAAAAATGCTTTGCTATTGCGATTGATAAGAGGTTTGAAATTATCTACAAGTAAAGCAACAGAGGTAAAAAAAAAGGAGTTATTCAAAACAAACATAATAACTGCCATGGTTTCATTTAGTGCATTGAGGATATGATTCAATGGGCTGAAAGACCTTTTCTCATCCCTGACTTTTCTTGTACAAGACCAGTAAGAGAGAAAAAGGCACATATAGGAAAGTTAACAGAGAAACAGATGAGGAGCTGTCAAACAGCTCAGATAAAAGTGTTTGAAAGATAATAATAATAATCCTTGCATTTGATATAGTGCCTTATCACAACTTCCAGACATCTCAAGGCGCTTCACAGAATAGCCTGTAATGTGAATGAATGTATGTTTTGTGGGCGAAACAATAACAAAATGATATGAAAGGTATAGTTACTTGCTAGTGTTCCTATCCACTGTCTTAAAACTGTACTTGTTTAAAGACTAAAGAGTGGCTAAAGATCAAATGCAGGGTTGTGCTCTGTGCTGGCAGAACAATCTTAAAAAGGTTTTTAATGATATCATTAAGAGGCTCAGTTTCTCCAATCTTGTGTGTTGGTTGGGGCCAACTGTGAACATCTGCCTTAAAGGTCAGTCTGCCTGTCTCTTCCACTAAGCCGAGATGAAAGCCTCCTCATGCAGTGCCAGTACTGAACCTGCAACTCCTTTTTTGGAGCAAACAGCATTTGTGCCCAAATTGAGGAGAGTGTGTATGTGAGTGTGCGTGTGCGTATGGTGGGGGGGGGGGAGGCTGGGAGAGGAGAATACGAGTTGGAAAACCAAATCAGGAAGAAAAAAAACTAGGAAAAGAAAATCAGTGTTGTAATTGCTGCAAATAGATGGGAGTCACCCAATATTTTTACATTTACGACACACAAGGTCTGATTTCAAAGAAACCTGTACTCCTTTCAGTCATCTTTCCCGTCCCCACTCAATCCCTTCAGCTCCCACCCCCAGCTCGGGTGTCCAGCCGGCAGTGTCAAGACCTTTACATGTCTGCCCGACCAAACAAGTTCCGACAAACCTTCCTGAATTCTACAACAAATTGCATTTATGTCGGGTTTATTTTACACTCGGTGGACATGAGACAGTACTGATTGCCAAATTAAGCCAAAGTCTTCCCCGGGGTATTTTCCAGACAGGTGGTAAGGATTTAGTTTACACTTATCATCTGCAGTGTTTTGATTTTTATCCTTCTCCTCCTCTTTTTGAACAACTGACTCTAACTGGGATAGAATTCCACAGAAGCTGGCATCCCTTTGGTACCTTATCCGAGTGAGTCACTATTCATTCCTACAGTATAAGCCTAAAACAGTGACAATCAGCAGCTACTCAATAGTACACGGTCTTCACAGTCAAACCCAACACTGCTCAACAAACAGGCGCACACATACAATCAGGAGCTCCGTTCCGGTGCATTTAACTACAAAGCTAATGGGGCAAGAAGTCATTCGGATACTATATGCAGACTGGTGTCCACATAGCAAAATGAGATGCGTATCCTTACATTTGATATGTAAGGTTGATATGCGGAGTCCTGTGGTTAGAGCACTCGCCTTGCAAGCGAGACACGTGGGTTCAATTCCAGGCAGGACGAAACCTTGGGCAAGTTTCCTTACTCCACACGCCTAATAATAATCCCTCCAAAACAATAATAAATTGGTCATTTTCAATCCACGACTGTTTGTGGGACACTGCTGTGCGCAATTGGCTGCCGCATTCGCCCACAAATATACAGTCAATTTACTTTAGAGTCTATTCTGTGAAGCGCTTTGAGATGTCGAGAAGATGTGAAAAGCGCTATATCAAATGCAAGGATTCTTCTTATCATTATATTATTATTATATTGTACTTTATTTAAAAATGTTTCAAAGCGGTTCCCAAGACGTAAAGTGTAGTGACTATTTGTAGGCTAATTCTACAGCCAATTTTGCACAAAGCAATGTTCCACAAGCAGCCATGAATGGAATGACAAATTTTATCCGAAAGATAAAATGGGACACTAGAAGAAACTCTCTTCTCTTTTCAAATAGTACGATGGGCATCCTTAAAGTCCAGCCAATCAGACAGATGGGACCTCGCTAATGTCTCATCTGAAGGTTGGCACTTCTGACATTGCAGTGCTCCTCTAGCAACTCACTCAAATAACTGGGCGTTTTGCCCACAAAATATACAGTCAATTCACTTCTACAGTATAATCTGTGACGGGCTTTTAGACGTCTCGGAGACGTGCTAAGGCGTTATATCAAATGCAAGGATTATTAACTAATCCTGACCTTGAGTTTTCCCACTTCCTACCATTACTCAGCTGTTCCTGTGGAAAGGTGGATAGACAGACGTCTGGTAAAGACATGATCAGGCTCAGTGGAATAGCCAACACAGACTGCCAACATTCAATGTCAGCTCATACATTAAGTAATGTCTCCTTTCTCCCCCATTGCCTTCTTGCATATAAGTGCAAGTTGCTGTTGTTTTCTGGGATTTGGTGTGGCTGAAGTATTGTCCAAATGAGGAAGACGGACATTTGTAACATTTCCATTAAATAAATCCTGCTTTACTAGTCCACTATTGTTAATTCCTATTCCAAAACTAAAGGTGGGTGTGTCAACTACTCACATGCCTACATGAACAGCTAATCACCACGAGTCAAGCGAGAATACACAGAACAATAATAAACACATCCACCCCTCCAAATAGCTGCCATAACTTCAGCGAGGATTCACATTTAGCACAATTGTTCAGCACTTTCTATACATTTTTCTACAGAATGTCAATCCACAGCCTGTTTGTGCGCAATTGGCTGCCGCTTTTCGCCCACAAAATATACAGTCGATTCATTTTACGGTATATTCTGGTGAAGTGCTTTGAGACGGCTGGATAATGTGAGACGCCCTATATCAATTGGAAAGATTATTATCATTTTTATTAATAATATCAGAACATGAAAAAAATTTAATAAAACGGGCCAACCCACAAACAGCTCGCAACCGTAAACCTTTAGTGAGGATTCCGATTTAGCACCATAGGTCTACAGTTTATTATTTTTCTCTCGTGCAATACCAATCAAAGAGAATAAAAAAAAATCATCCTTGCTCCAAACAGACTATGCAATACATTGGCTTTCAGCCACAGATTATACATTCTCCCGACTGCGTGAATAATCATAGCTATAAAAAAATCTCGAACCAATTTCAACACAGAAGAAATTGTTCCCTTACTGGTAGAGGGATGGAACTTGCAGCACAATCAAAAATCCATCCCTTCGCAGCACCAAGTCTGTAATGTTACAAGCTGAAGCCAAGAGACTGTTAACCTAGGCAGCTTAGACAAAAGCCCTTTCTTTGTGTCGTGTACACAAAGTGAATTTGCAATGGACAAAATCGGAAAGCCCAGACAAAAAAAAGCCTGCGACAAAACTACGACTACGGCAACAGCAGCAGCAACTTGCATTTATAGAGCACCTTCACACGGGGTATCAACAAAACTATGGTACGAAAGAAATAAATGAAAATGACTTCTCATTATTTCCCCGCACCACGAGTGAACCTGAAGTGCAGCAGTTACTTAGGTTTTTCACTCCAGGACCTGAACTGTGGTCCCAGTCGCTGAAAGCTATCAAACCGAGCAATGCAATCAATCCTACCCATCCACCAGTTTAGCACACAACACAGATTCTTTCCTCTTTATCATGTCCCATGAATTTTAAAAGACAAGGTGCAAAATTGTAATCAGCTTTAGTGCTTCCAATTAGAAATACGAAAGGGTGCAACTCCTTATGCAATGAGTTTCAGAAAAACGTGTTTTATCAACATCTAAACTCAGATGCGTTGCATCTTTGAAACAGTTACTTTGTTCTATTGGTTCCACATAAGATTATACAGTGGAATTCATAGTGGCTGTTTTATTCTGTTCTTCTTACATTTAAGTGTCTAAATGTAATTCAGGCACCAAACAAAGTGCAGACTTGTGTGCGATTTTACTATCCAGTCTGAGCCACTGAGGTATTGGATATTGATCTGTACTTATATAAAAATATTACCATTCTGCTAATGCTCTTTAGATGTATCTTGCCTTCCTTCCCGCCCCTATCCCTGTGTTGGGAGGATTTTTCCCGTCCACACAGAAACGAGTATGCCAAAATATATATCGTCATGTCTTAAAACGTTACAGGTTTTACGACTTTTACTTCTCTGCCTCATTACCATAAAAAAGATTTAAAATGAAAAGAGCAATCACAGAACATTTTTTCCATCATAGTGTGGGCTGAAAAAAAGAACATTTCTGTCAAACTCTGTCAAGTTTGGGGCACTACAGTGCAGTCCCCAGTTTTACGGAAAAAACAGTACACAGGCAAAACAAGTTTCTATGCTTCTGGTTGAATACTCACAGCCGCAAGCAAGTGAAAATCAAAAGACTGGCAGCAGCAGAGGTCACTTTTACTACTTACTGCATGTGCTGGCAGATTTATCTACACAAACATTGTGAGACACACCCCTCAATATTGTCCCAGTGTTAACCAATCCTGTAGAGCCTTAACGTCATTCCCCAAGATGAAGCATGTTAAATCTCCATTCAAAGATACAATTGTCCAGTATACTTCAAGTGCTGCAGTTATTGTAAAACAGGAGACGCAATCAAGACAGCTACAAAACAACAACAACAACTTGGATTTACATAGCGATTTAGCATTTAATAGTTTCACATTTCACAACTAAAAAAATACAACTTTCAAAACGTGGCTGTCTTTTGTACTGGTTAGCATTTGTATATCTATAGGTAGGGCCAGATCAAGGAATCGGGGAGGCCTAAGGCAGATAATAATAATCCTTACATTTGATATAACGCTTTCACGTCTTCTACACATCTCAAAGCGCTTACAGAATATACTGTAAAGTGAACTGATTGTATATTTTGTGGGTGAAACGCGGCAGCTAATTGCACACAGCAGTGTCCCACAAACATTCGTGGATTGAGTGACCAAATTATTATTGCTCACATTTGGGGGCCCTTTGAACTATGCAACAATACTTTTTTAAAATACTTTCTTGCGTGACTTCATAGTTGCAAACATGTCAACTACATGATCAAAACTTAGTGCATGTGTCAAATCATGCTCAATAAACACGATTGTAAGTGTATTCAATCTCTCCTGGGTCATTGTAGATCTGAGCGAGTTTTTGATGAGACTCATCTTTGAGAACAAACGTTCACCTTCATAGACTGTTAATGGTCATGTTACGACCATGTGAAGAAGAACAACTGCCATATTGACTGAAAATGTTTATTCTACCAAGTGATTCTGTTTCATATACTTCAGCATTGCTCGTGGAGTTTTCTCACCCTTAATACGTGATATGAATCCAGAAAGTGTAAAAATTCATCAACACTGTCTGCATCAAAATCTTTCCTCAGCACTGCTAAAATAAGCTCTATTGCTGCCTCTTACCTGGTCTTACCTGGATATGACGAGTACCTCCACATCCGCCCCTCTTGCAGTCACTCACTGGAGACCAACGGGAAGAGAGGCACAGCTGAGAGGTGAAGAAATCAATCATATCCGGGTTCCTCAGCCCTCGGAGCCGTGAGACATGGCTAAACTGATTTATTGGTTATCCGGCCCTGTCTACAGGGATTTCTACTAGACTGCATAGACAGCTTTAAATTAGTTACAGGAGGGGAAACTCTCTCAAATCATAAATCCCCAGAGAATATAGTGGTATTTTCTCAAATACAACTTTTAACCATTGCATTTACATGCATATCATTATGGCGATACTGTATATATTAGCCACTTCAAATGCATATACATTTTATTAATTCATACTTGCTAATATTTCCTTTAAATTGAAAGTAGCAACAATACATTTCTAAGGCAAACTTATGTGGAACGAAGAACAGATGCAATAGCAGGAACAGATTTTTGGGGTACATCCTGTGATAATGGGATTTTTAAAAAAAAATCCAGGCCCCCCCCCCACCCCAAAAGACTATTGCAGTCAAGTAATTATGCACCATCCAACCTCATACAGAAGGTTAAAAGCTTGACCTTATCCTGGGAAGAAAACAGTCAAAAGCCACTGGCAGATAAATTATTACTGTACAAAACTACAGACCATAACATTAATAAATTAATTAATAATCTGTCTGAACAGACTAAAAGCTTTGTATTGGTTCTCCACCACACTATTACAGCGTAGAAACATTTTACAATTGCCCAGATTTACGCGCTTGAAGTACAAAGTGAGACAGGGCATTGTTTTGTTAAAAATCTGAACGGGAAACTTTGTATTGCCTTGAAGAACAGGAAGTTCCTTTAAAATCACATGGTCAAGAACCATTTGCCTCAATTATGGTGATCTCATGCCCTTAGCAAAATTACTCTGCATGAGGTAGGTATGCGCCAATAGCTTGACGTTTTACAAAGCTTGCTGGAAGCTAATGTGGAAAATCTATAAATAAATGCATTGCAAATTGGTTTAATCTGATCTTGTCCAACCAGTCTGCATTGCGTACCGAGGTACCACGCTAATTGTAGATTAGCATGATGCACTTGTGACATCGCAGCAAGTAGATTTAACAAGTGGGCAGAGCAGGGGTGTATCAACGTTTAACCAATCACAGCAAAAATGCTTTTGCACCACAACAACGCAAGCAAACCTATGTTGATGGCTGCTACAAATAGTGCTGGCTGGGATGAATATTTCACACTGGAAAAACTAAAATGGTCTAAATTTTCCTATGATGTACTCATAAAGGGAACTGCATTATTTATGGCCACGTATACTCAGGTTACAATATTGGGAGCCTGTGCTTTCCTGGCCAGTTGGATTAACTCACAAATATTAGAACCGACCGCCTCCTCCAGCCAAATAGCCAATTAACCACTCATTGCCTGGACTTGCACACAAGGAATGACTACTTGAACAAGGTATTGGAGGGCAGGCACAGGTCATTAAATCTTACCCTATCCAAGGATTTCAGCAAAGGAGTAGAACAAGGGAGCAAACTGGCAAATAAATTAATTATTTGTATACACGGTTAAATATCAATAAAGCTCTCCCTAAAGGCTATTTCAAGCACTGAAATATTGGTAAAATCACTGCCTAAATGAAAGTTGTACCATACAGATCAGGTTTGACTCTGATTAACTCTGCAAGCCCCAATATTGCTGAATAAGTAGTTCAATTTCTGTCCTTTGGATGAGGCATTAAAACCGGGGTCCCTTCTGCCTATTCAAGTAGATGTTACAGATTCCATGGCTCTATTCGAAAAGAGAAGGGAGGAGTTTCTTCCAGATGTCCTGGCCAACAAATCCATCAAATAAAATTGGTCATTCACTTCATGGCTGTTTGTGGGAGATCAGCCTCTCAGCCCCTCGGCTCTGGAACTCCATCCCCCAGTGCCTTCGCCGCTTCCTCCCTTTCCTCCTTCAAGGCCGGTCTCAAGACCTTTCTCTCTGACCGTGCCTTCAGCTCCCCTCTCGACTCTCTCCCCCTCCTCGCTCCCTCCCTTCCCTCCCCTCACCCTGACCATTTCCCCCTTGCTCGGGTCCTGACCCAACTGTTCAGCGCCTTGGGACGTCCTCCCAACGTGAAAGGCGCTCTATAAATGAAATCTTGTTGTTGTTGTGCACAAATTGGCTGCTTCATTTGGCTACAAATACCTAATCATTTCACTCATGTGAAGCACTTTGGGACATCCTCCCTACATGAAAGGCGCTATACCAAATGAAAGGATTATCATTTTTATTAACAACACACTTTTAACTAATAATAAGGTGTATCTGAAATGATCAAGCTGCCCTGCATTCCTCAGAGGTCTGGAAACAATGTATAAGTGTAACTCACTACAATAATATTATTATTATCCTTGCATTTGATATAGCGCCTTATCACAATGTTGAGAAGTCTCAAAGCACTTCACAGGATATATTGTACTTTGAAAGTACAGTAAATTTCCTATTAATTCTTTCTTAGAAGTTGCTTCACACACACGAAGAATTCAGAAACTATTTCAGAGCCCTGGCAAAACATAATTTACACTGTTGGTTAGCTGACAGAATCATAGTTGGACCAAGATTCTGAGCAGAGGAAAAGGAGCAGCTAAAACAATAAGATAACAGTAGAACTGGCATAACACACACATTGATCCACTTTTAATTGTAGGCATTTTAGGTCAATTTTCATACGTTTTCTTTTCTTAGAAAGAATTATTGCCAAAGGCAAACAGAAAAAAATATAGATCAGGCAAAAAAATTCTAAGAACTTAAGAATTTCAGCACAAGAGATTGGGATGGGACAGTGCTATGTTGCAGGCCAATGTCCACTGCTTGGGTTAACTCCAACTGTGATTAGTGGGATGGCCAAGTCTCTTTGTAAGGTGCCAAAGTGAGATTGTCTCAACCTTAGATCCAAGTGTGCATGAACCCAAATTTGGTAAAACGCGTTAGTATTTATATTGGTAAATTTATCAATATTGCATCTAACATATAGTGGAGTCCTGTAACGTAGTGGTTAGTGCACTCGCCTCGCAAGCGAGAGTATCTGGGTTCGATTCCTGGACAGGGCGAAACGTTGGGTAAATTTCCTTACTCCATACGCCTCTGTTTACCTAGCAGTAAGTAGGAACCTGGTTGTTAGTTGATTGGTGGATCGCTTTTCCAGGGGTAATCATCCCTTCAAAAAAAATTAATAACATGGTCACTCAATCCAAGACTCTTCATTGGACACTGCTGTGCGCAATTGACTCCCGCGTTTCGCCCAGAAAATACAAAGTCGATTCACTTTACAGTATATTCTGTGAAGCACTTTGAGACATTTCAAATCATGATAAGGCTCTATATCAAATGCAAAATTATTAGTATTATTATAGCAGCACATGCTTGCGTGTGCCACAAAAATTTAGGGAGATTTACAAAGAGGTGGAGAAGTAACCCCCAAGGAATAATCTCAGCAAATCAGTAACATGCCAAGGAAACTGCACAACATTGCTGAGCAAGATTGTTGGTTCATGAGGTTAGGGTTGAGACACAGAACACTTCACTGTTCTTTTGTATGTTCTGCTGTATGTTCTTTTGATACAGCACTTCTGAAAATTTGTTTTCATGTTCTTTTGCTGTTTATTATACAGGTCTTGTTTTAACTCCTTCCAATTTAATTATTTTGTTTACCTTCATAAATTCTCACAGTCCAAAGGCGGCTTCCTATGGTACTATTCCTTTTAAATTCTTTTCTTAAAAGTTGCTTCCTCCACAACTTTTCTTGTTACAAAAACCACCATCGAGCATAGAAAAAAACCTATCTCCCCAAAACCATCTCAAACTTTCAAAACACAAGGCGTATTCAGCGATTTGGAGCATGGAAATGATTTGTGATCAGTAGTACAAGAGCAAAGCATTCATTTTTTTAATTGGGAT